TGACACTTGTTCTCTTGATCCTCCAAATTGATGTGCTTGTATTTCTGCATGATATTTTCCGTTATAGTTTTCGCTAAAATCAGCTACAACCACCACCTCCGTTTCTTTTATATTATCAATAGCTTCACGGAAACATTTGTACTGTGTTTTAATATTAAAAATATGTTTTTTCAGTGCTTTAATTTCTTTGTTAAATTCTTTCATTAAATTCTTGACTGTTCCTTTTTTAGTTTCTTTTACATTTTTAATTATTTTCATTGGCTAGGGGAAACGAAAGAATTGTTGTATGTGGTGATTTGAATGGATGGGTTGGTACCGCTCGACCAGGGTACGAGTAGGTACTTGGAAAGTTTGGCGATAAAAGGGTTAATGATGCTGGCAAGCTTATACTGGCGGTGCGCAAGGGAAAGGGTCTTCTTGTGACAAAACACTATGTTTAATCACAAGAAAATCCATATGTATACTAGAGAACGAAAGAATGAGAGAAGTATGATCGATTTGTTTCTGGTGGATGACCGACTGCGAAAACAGGTGATGGATACGCGAGTGTTCAGGGGTGCTGACCTAGGAACGGATCACTATCTAGTGATTACTAGATTTAGGGGTCTGTTCGCGGGTTGGCGCTACCGGACGGCAGTAACAGAAACACAGTCGGTCTGTCGCATCCGAAGCTGGAAGCTTCAGGAAGCGGATACTAGGGACAAATATCATGCGAGGGTAGCCGAAAAGCTTGACAACATCGATGGCAGAAAAGAATGTGTAGAAAGAACATGGCAGAACCTTAGGGATGGAATGGTAAGTGCAGCGGAAGAAGTGTGTGGAACAATAAAAAGAGGCAGTAGTAAAAGAAGAGATGCATGGTGGAATGATGAAGTGAAAGAAGCTGTAAAGAAGAAGAAGAAAGCATGGTTAGACTACTTGGCCTCTAGTAATGATAAGGATATGAGAGAGAAGATGAAAGAAATATATCGGCTGCAGAAAGTTCACACGAAAGCATTGATTGAGGAAGTGCGTGAAAGGTGTAGAATGGAAGCGGACGAAAGGTTGTCGCACAACTTTAAGGAGAACTCCAAACTCTTCTGGAAAGAGGTTGGAAGGACCCGAAGTGGTGCGACGGCCTAAAGAATGAACAAAGTGCTTTCGAGAACTAATGACGTCCTCTCAGAAAAATCGGACGTCATGCAGCGATGGAGCGAATTTTATAGAGAAATGTATGCGTGTGATAATCTTAGTGAGGGATCCGGGGATGACGCCGTGACTGGTACGCCAGACCCGGACCTCGATGACACTGAGGTCATCAGTATGAAAGAGATTGAACGTGCGATTCGAAGTTTGAAATGTGGTAAGGCTGCGGGACTAGACAGAGTTACTGCTGAAATGGTCAAGTATGGTGGGCCTCGCGTCTGGTACAGCTTTCATCTGCTGTGCAATTTGTGCTGGCGGACGGGGGATGTTCCGGATGATTGGCGATCCGCAGTCGATGTGCCTTTATATAAAGGTAAAGGTTCACATTTTGACTGCGGGTGCTATCGGGCGATCAGTTTGACCAGTTTAGCAAGTAAAGTTTACTCGAAGGTTTTGACACGTAGGATGCAAGAGAAATCGGAAAGATTTCTATGGGAGGCACAATGCGGATTTAGACCTGGAAGAGGATGCACGGATCAAATGTTTTCTCTCCGCATGATCACGGAAAAGCTTCTAGCTGCTAACCAGAGGATTTTCTGTGCTTTTGTGGATCTTGAGAAAGCATTTGATAAGGTTGTAAGGAAGAAAATGTGGGAACTGTTGCCGGGGTATGGTGTGGATGGTCGATTGCTAAGGGCTGTGCAGTCTCTTTACTGTGACTGTAAAGCCTGTGTGCGGGTAGGGCATGACCTGTCACCCATGTTTAGCCTCCAAACGGGCGTAAAGCAGGGTTGTGTCATGTCTTCCCAGCTGTTCATACTGTATCTCGATAGCTGTTTACAGAAGCTGAAAGATAGCTGTTTGGGTGTGAAATTGGGTGACATAAAAGTAAATTGTCTGCTGTATGCTGATGATGCAGTGCTTATTGCACCATCAGCGGCAAAACTGCAGGCATTAGTCACGTGTATGAAAGAGGAATATGAAATTAAAGGTCCCCGTTTGAATGCTAATAAAACTAAGGTTCTGGTATTTGAAAGGGACGAAGAGAGAACGAAGTGTGAAATATGGGTAAATCAGGAATGTCTAGAACAGGTAAATGAAATTGTATACTTGGGGAGTGCTTTTAGCCGGGATGGAAGATGTGATTTAGATGTGGACAGGCGTGTCGCTGCCGGGAACAAAGTCAATGGTGCTCTGACTGCGTTAGTCAAAAGGCAAGGCGTAGTGAAGAGTGCACGCCTTGCAATACATAACGCAGTGTTGGTACCGACTTTGTTATATGGCAGCGAAAACTGGGTATGCCAGAAGAAGCATAAAAGCAAGTTGAATGCAGTGGAGATGCGATCTCTTCGTAAAATGTGCGGCGTTACCATGGCCGACCGAAAATGAAACGAAGAGATTCGTAATATGGCAGGTTTGAAAGATGACCTTATCACAAAAATTGATAAGGGCGTGCTTCGGTGGTTTGGGCACGTTGAGCGAATGAGTGAAGACCGAATGGTGAAGAAAATATATAGCGCAAAAGTTAATATTAAAAGGTGTCGAGGTAGACCGAGACTAACTTTCGAAGGCCATGTGAGCAAATTGCTCGAAGAGGGTAGGGTCAAGAGTACTCGGATACCTAGACGTGCATGTATGAAGAAGATAATGAATCTGAAAGAAGCGAAAGAGGTTTGTAAGGATCGTGACACTTGGCGATCTGTTCTCTCAGGCTACCCCGTCAGGGATTGTGCGTGAAGATAAGTAAGTAAGTAAGTAAGTCTTTTCCTCTTTTTTATACGTTACTTCTTTTACAATCCATTCATTCCATGAAATCGTTTCTTTGTCTCTACTTGTATCATATGTAATTTCGCTGTTGCAACATTCTTGGCAAGTAACGTACAAACAGGATTGACGTTTAGGATCACACACTGTAGACATGAACAGAGTGTTTAAATTATCTGTATCTATTATTCGGTGTTTCTTTAATTCCTGTGCTTTATACACTGGATTAGTATGGGTCTTACATAGGCACATTTCGCGACCGTCAGTGGATGGCTTGACTACGTAGAAAGGTTTGTTTCTTGTAAAATAATAATATGAACACTTAGTTTCAGGGTTTCCTTGCTTGAATGTGTGATAAAGATTCTTCATTGTATCTAATAAAAATCTCTTTTGAACTTTAATTTTGTTCTTTGTTACTGTTTCTTTTCGCCCTGCCGTTGGTCTAGATATATCGTCCCTATTGTAAAAGTCTTCCATTTCTTTTTTCAGTTGCGTTGCACTATCTTTCAGATTCGCTGTTGTTCTCAAATTCCCTGTTAAACCTAAAGCCTCTTTTGCAATATTTTTTTTTTCAAAGATTGAGCAATTTGATCAAAAAAACTTTTAATAGTATTTTTGTCTCTTCGATTTTTAAGTTTGATATATTTATCTTTTATTGCATTACTTAGAGTCTCATATTTTACCTTCTCAGTAGTTTTCTTTTCCTTCTTTTCGACTTTTTCGTTGTTCTCTGTAATTTCTTTTTGTACTTTTCATATTTTTGCTTGAGTTTTTCGTTTTCTTTTTTTAATATAATGTTTTCTCGATAAATTTTAGAACTGTCCCTTTTTACTTTCTTTCTTCCTCTTTTTGACGCTTCGCCAACTGTAGGGGAAGCCCACAAATTTTGTTCTCGATCAATATCATCATTTTTATTCTGTACAGCATCGTCTTGCTCATTCTGTACAACATCATCTTGCTAATTATCCTCTTGTAATCGTGGAGAGCTAGGTGGCGTTACTTCAAGAACTCTATTAAGATTTTGCGCTCGTTCTCTTTGATTCTTTTTCCTTAATCTCCAAATCACTCTCGCGTTATATCTCTCTTTAGGGTTTAAATCTTTAATCAGTCTTTTTTTGGCGTGATAATTTTCTCTCTTCTTTTTTTTTGTACTCGTTATATTTATCTGGATCTTGTTTTAATTTTTCTTTATAACGTCTTTGTTTTTCTGCGTTTGTAAGATGCATTTTTCATATCTAAAACAAAATAAGCTATGTAAGCACAAAAACCCATTACTGAACACAGCAAAAACAAAACCTTGTTCCGTTTATCACTCCTTTATAACAATTTGTAACATGTAGTGAGTATTTCAACCGTTTAATTTACATTCAACACAGTTATGTCTCTTGGGTAACCAAAAATGTCTCTTGGGTAACCACCAGAGTGACCCAAGTGACGGGTTAGTCAGGGGACATTTTACATCCAAAGCTGTTTTTATTATGAAAAAAATGGAATAAAAATAAAATACCACTCCCCGTTGACTTGTTAGATCATAATGCAATATAAATAGAGAATAAAATCCATTCAAAAGTAAAAACTTACGATGTTTTTCGTGGTTTTCCAGCAGAACAACAATAAACCCACGTTGCTACTTCTCCGGCCGCAGTCGAAATGGCCGAGCGAATCAAAATTCTATGTGACTCCAACTTCGATCGCGTGATACTTATCCTTGTTTCTGATTGGTCTAACGCACTAATAGCGCTATCTCACTTGCACTCATTTAAAAAAAGTCGCGGTTACCTAGTGGAAGGTGAATTTACTCAGTTCGGCGGGGATTTTACGCGCGGGAAGACTTTTTTAAATTATGTCAAATATAACAAGGCTGTATCTGTGTAAATTTCAGAATATGTTCTCATTTATATTTTGGTACTATATCTTATATAAAATGATAGACTGCAGTGAACATTTTTTAAACCAAAACAATATATTTCTGAAGGTAGGGGTAAGGGGACACCTATGATTTGTACGGGAACGTGTGATTACTTCCCCTGGGTAACCAATAATTTTTGTTTAAATGTATACGTAAACTTTATCAATAAATATTTTAGTATTGTGAATTTATCTTAGGAGAATTAATCATCTGGATCAAGACAAATTGAACAAATATAATCGAAAAAATCTGTACCGCTACATGATAAGCAAATCCAATTTTTACACACGTTGCATTTTATCATATCTGTTAAACTTAAGGAATCTCTTTTACAAAGGTGACAAACAAAACAGCAAATTTTTCTACTTGTTGAAGGAAACAATACTTTTACTTGACGCTTATTTTCTTTATGACGTGTTTTCTCGCTAACATTTTTTGGTGGTGGGTATTCTCCAGGCTTCAATGTACGGACCTTTTTCCTAGTTGCAGCAGCGTTTGATGTAGTGGGTAGAAATTCAATATTATGTGAATCTGTGTTTTCGGTGTAGGTTATGTTACTTAAAGGAGTATTATTAGCAGCTATTAGCAGCTGCCTCAGTATCAAAAGATTGTGTACAAACTAATTCACTATCCATTATAAATGACATATCTTGTAGTAACGAATCCGTAAGAATCAAATCGTCGTGGCTTGGTGAAATCAAGGATAATAAAGAATCATCAACAAGAATATTTTGTGAACTTGAAAGATTATTATCAATAACTGTATTACATACATTACGCTTCAATATTAAGATATCATCAGGATTTCTCTCCACTGGCAATAATAGATGAATTTCAGTTTCCTGACAATTACACAACCCTGGCATGTCACCACAAAAACAACTGACAAACCGGTGCTTGACAACATTTTTTTTTACCGATATTATCTGATGCAATCTCATTGTACCAGGAACAGCTCTAATGGTTTTTGGAATAAGTTTGCGAATATTTGTAATATCTGTATCGTTTATGTAAAAACATTTGATGGTTTTTACTACATCTAGTAGAATGTTATATGCATCAGTTGCATTAGTTACGTCCTTACCATAAGCTACTCTTCTATCAAGCTGCCGTTTTACCGTCCCTCCAATACCATCAGCGATGCTTTTTCCATGTCCACTTTCCGAGAAAGACCATGTAGAGTATTTTAGTTTTAGTTTTTCTGTGAACCAATTTAATAAAAAAAAATTTTTTTGGCGATACTGACCGGTGGGGCCGTCGGAAAAGAAATGAATTACATTGATAGGGTAGTTTTCTTTAGCAAATCTTATGACAGGTAATAAATGTGCTCAAATAGCATGGGGTTCGGGGCAATTACTGTCAGCAATTGTGGCAAATGATTGACATTTTTTTTGAAAATTATCACACCAGTATGTATTGAAATTGACGTTTTTGAAGCACCAAAGTGCATTGATTGTATTTCATTTGCATATTTACAGTCAAAGTTTTGTGAGAAGTCACACAAAATCATTACTTCATCTTCTTTTAGTTTGTTAACACATTTTTTATACTGTCTTTGTTGTTCTTTCCAATTATAGTAATGAATTTTGAATAGTACTAGTAATTTCTGTAATTCAGATACTAAATAATGAACTGTTCCATTATGTTGTTGTTTTATGGTCTTTTACGTTGTCATTTCTTTTCCCAATTTTTCGTACTTGTGGTCGATCCTTACCCATTTACACCATTTTATTTCTCTACTTGACATTTCTTGTGCATATTCAATTTTGGGGATTTTGCAAACTAAGCAATTTCCATACATGCAATCATATGATTTAGTATCACAAGAAAATACACTTACAAGTTCCTCAACATTTTTGTACTTGATTATTTTATTTGACTTAAGTGATTGAAAAATGAAATCAATGTTGCTATGTTTAATGCACATACACGTATCCCTAACGCCTATAGTGGGAGATAAAACATAAAATGGTTTACATCTGTAAAATGTTGCAAAACTGTATTTGCCACATTCTTCTTTGTAAATCTCGTAAAGATTACGCAAAGTATCCACCATATATCTTATTTGCATTCTATTTCTTCCTTTAGTTCTGCACTCTTTTTTTCCTGCAGTGCACCTAGTCACATCGTCTCGGAGATAAAAGGATTCGATTTCTTCCCTTACTTTTGTATTCCAAATACGCGGTTTGTCAGAAAATCGAATAGTTCTTTTGAGTCCAAGAAATTTTTGAGCATTACATTTTTTGTTGGTCTTTTGTGTATAATTATGTATAACCTTTTTAAATAGTCGTTTAGTTTCTTGTGTCTTACAGTTATTTTTATAGATTATTCGGAATGATTGCTCAAACTTTTCACAGTTTTCTTCCAAATCTTTAATTATGATTTCCAGTCTGAACGTTCCTTGTTTTAGACTCTAAAGCTAATTTACTTCTTTGCAGTCTTTTTCTCATTCGACCTACTAACAATCTCAATTTTTCTACATTTTTCTCAGAATGTAATAATAAACAGTTAGCACGTCTCAGTTTCTTTTTTAAATTATTGCTTAATTTTATGTTTTCTTTTTTTTCTTTTTTCGACTTGTGTTCAATTTTTTTGCGTCTTTGTTTTTCTTTCTGTTTCCTCCAAAGTTCTCTTTTTCTTTCTTTTTCCTCATCATTTAGATCACTAACCTTTTTTTGAACTTTTTGAACTCTTTCTAATTGTTTTTTCTTATAAGTTTCATATCTTTCTGGATCTTGCTTCAATTTTTCTCTAAATCTTTTTGCTCGTTCTGCTCCAGTTAAAGGCATTTTATATATTATAAAAATATCTGAAATAAAAATGTCTAATATAGTAGCTGTTATCAATAGTTACAATAAATTTCGGATATTATTACATAAATTAATATAACTTATCTGAAATCTATATAACAAAATCCTAACTGGGGCGAATCTGTACATATTTTTTTTTTGGAAAATCTTATTGAAATAGTCATTATCGATACAGAGGCCGAATATATAGTTTTTAGAATTTTTATCTATACGTCTGTCTGGGAACGCGTCACGAGAAAACTATACGACAGATTTTGACGAAATTTGATATGATGATAGCTGGTTATTCGAGTCAACATATATGATACTTTTTACTGCGGAAAAATATCTCAACCTAGGGAAGAACCCGAGCGGAGCGCCGGTGAGTCGCTAGTGTACTTTAAAATAACCATCAACAAATTTTGTGAGTAAAACATTCGAACTTGTTCCTCACAAATAATGACCTAGTGATTCGCTGATTGGTATTCACTTTGGGAATCTAAAAAATATAGTATTTTACCTTTAGCGGGCTAGAACGCCGTTTGAACGAAGTAAAATCGTAATGAATAAACTTTGAATAAAATATCCACGATAAGTATTGTACGTAAACAATAATACAGTAAGTACCTCCATTAGCATTAGCATCTACGATTACTAATTAATAAATCCTAACTAACGCATAGACCTAAAACAATCAAAATTAAGCCCGATACTTTTTTAATTTAGAAGAGCTATGTGAAAATTCACAACAATGTACGAAGTAAAAGCACTACCTACTAATTTTTTTTTCTACATGGTAGAGCCAAGCTGCAGCTATATTTATAGTATAGTTGTAGCACGAATGGGTCGGCTCGACTGGGGAAGGACCACGCTCTCACAGAATACCAGCGTAAAATAGCAGCTTAATGCTAGAGAACCGGAGACCCTATTTACTCTAAACGAGGCATTTCATCTTAGCTGACAACGCATCTGCATTTTGATTCGCAAACGAGAAGAGATGTAGATATCTATGGGCCTCAGCAACCACTTACCATCAGGTGGACTGTGTGCTCGTTTGTCACCCTATTTTTATAAAGAAATATATATTACACACGTTTTGTAATACTGTTTGTTTCCCTAAAATAAATAAAAAATGTTATAATATTTTTCGATAAAACCAACTACTACTATACTTAACAGGCAAGAAATACTTGTTTAAAAAGGGAACTCAATCACAATCTTTGTCAACGTTATTATCTCCATAAATAAATGGAATATTTTTATTATTTTATTTTTAATGGACAAAACTGGGAAAGAATTTCTGGGCTCTGAACCCGCATGAGCAAATCCGCGGACTATAGCTAATATATTATTTTTGTACTTTTCAAATCAACTAATATTTGAAATTAACTTTTATTATTATTTTATTACTTTATTTACTTTATTTTTTTTATTATTTTATTTACTAGAGCTTTTACCCGTAGCTTTCCTTATACTGAAAGATGTAATTTAAAACATGCTCAACACCATCCATCCATAAGCCACGATCTAATGTCCTTTTCAGTTACTATCCCCTGACAGTAAATTTGTAAAATTTCATTATGGTCGGCTGACTAATTAACACTCGAATGCTTCACAAACACACAAACAAATTAACTAATAGTAGTTACTACATAATAGACAACAACACAATGCTGAACACACCTTTACAGTTCCATTAAGTAACAATCTCATTCCGCTTATACATAACGTTACTTAGTGGACGTTACGAAGTGCTACCTTAAATTATTCCGAGCATTTATTTCAAAATAAATTATATGAATCCATCGAAATCGTATCTTTCTTATTATTGGTTGATAACTAGAAAATAAATCAAGAAGCATGAAAGAGTGAAAAACTTATAATGAAGCGTTCTTAATGGAACAATTTTTCTAACCTGTTAACCTCACTACACAAAGTAACAAACTGCGTCAGAATAAGGCAAATAAAGAACACGTGCTTTTTGTAGTAGATTAAGCGTGTTGCCATTATGTAAAAAATAAATAGAAAGGTAGTTTTTTTTTATTCCTAGTTGGTTTAATTGTCGTTACTTAGGTGGACAGTCCGCCTTGATTAATTTTGAGGACAACATTAAAATTTACTTTATTTAATAGCATTTCGACAAATAAATATGATTAATTGAAGACTTTATAAAGCGACTTCTTATTTATTTAATGATAGGCGATTCAATAATTATAAAAAAGATTTCGTTTTATTAATCGAACTTTGAAATGAGCATGGTCCGTGGTGGACATACCAAATTGTGTGTTTCTGCCAATGATTTTTGTCGTTTAATTTTTTATTTAATTTAAATTATTAGTAGTTATGATATAAAATTAAAATTAAAATAAATAATGATTTCTTATATTTACGCGAACACTACACATTTTAAATAAAATAAATAATTTCATAGAAAAAAAATAATTCACCACTATTGTTGCTTTATCTGTTAAGCAATATATTGTCAAAAGGAGTGGACACTACAATTTCGTCATAAACATTTTTCTTTGAAAAACGCCCTATTGAATCATATTTAATATATAATTGTGTTTTCATTTGTTTTACTTAATGTAACATTGTTAATATTTCTAAATGTTGTGTAAGTACACAAAATTTAGTTTTTTTCCTTTTTATATTTCTATATATCTTCATTTGAATAGAATATATATATTTACAGTCTATCAAAAGTCTACTGTTGAACATAAACAGGATTATAGTTATTTGACATAGTTTCAACGCTTGGAAAGCGGGTTGTCAACCATGTAATATGTAATACGATGCTTTACAACGTATATTAACTAAAACATTTTACCACCTTAACCATTAGGTAACATGATTAAGCCACCTAACCATAAGTAAGTCACCTAAAAAAGGCCTTCCTTAGATATCCTCATAGGATGACTTTTACCATAGTTGCCATGCCTGCGTGAAAATATGCGTTATGCTGGTTGGCCACCGCAGTTATTTATTATTTTAAGTTTTCATCGGGAAAGTGCTGCTGCCCCATCCCCATCTTGTATTATTGCTTACGACGCGGGGTAATATCATTCCGTGTACAGACAAATTCTCTTGTACGCCACAACTTGCCGCACACAAGACACTGACTTAGCAAAACATGCAAGAAATCGCGGAGTAGCCTCTTTACCGTGTTTAGTACTACAAAACCTAAGTGGAAAGGAGGTCTGTGTTCAGCACTGAACTTGTGATGGAATGGTATGTTAAAACATTATTGATTTTTTTTTTGTAAAAACAAAACTCGGCACGAGGAAATTTTTGTTTATTATTTAATATTTTTATTCTTAATTAATATTTAAGTACATAACATATTGTTATTTATTAGCAATATCACACTTTGTGCTAGTAGCGTCTTCACGTAGTGCCGTCGAAATCCAAAGAGTTTATTGAATGTCCAGTAAAATCGTCGTTTCGCCGTTGAATACAGAATGATGATTCTGTTTTTACGCCGTTTCCGCCCGTAGTTTTTAATCACAGAATGTATTTTCAAGAGAAATGAATTAATCATCTGAATTATAAAAGACCATTTTTTATGGTAACAATTAAGTTTTTTGTATGAATGTAAGTGCTGTGAACATAAATAAACCCATAACGGGGGAAATGGAACAATATCTGATAACCCAGTGAAAGTACCTCCCGCATATTTCTATCTCAAAAGCATACGCGAAAGCTTTATCTAGTCAATCCTCTATCTACGAGTTATACTGTTTTTTTTTTACTTAATATAAGCCAGTGCTTGACCACAATCCCACCTGGTGGTAAGTGGCGATGCAGCCCTAGATGGTAAATTGCACTGTCTTAGCGTAACAAAAGCCTATTCACTCTTGCCTTGAAGACGCCCAGACCGTATTCGGACGGAAAGATAAACGCCGGCAAATTATTCCACTCTTTTGCTGTACACATTACAAAAGACGAAGCAAACCATTTAGTTCAATGCGTGGAATATCGACAACAAAGGGGCGAAGACCCGCCGACCGCCTGGTTGTCCAATGGTGGAAAGGAGAGGGAGGAATGCTGGCGTTTTCGTTATTTCTTATGCCAGAAGGGTCTGGCTGTTGTTCTTGTTACTGTGCTGTAAATATTGTTATTTCAGAATCTTCCTTATTTTTTACTCTTGCTGCTCTTTTTTTGTAAATTTTACTGGGGTTTGCTATCGCTTTCTTAGCTTTTATCGTTTCTTCTAAAATTTTCTTACCTATTGTTGCAGTTATCACTTCGGCACCTTTAGTGACACGTTTCTTTTTTATCGGCTTATTATCTTTCTGTTTTATTTTTATTAAAAGTAATTCATAGAATGTGCATGATGCCTTGGATAGTGGTTGAGCTTGCAGTACTGTAACTGTTGAGGTGCTTTTTTGGTGATAGCGTTCGAGATTACTTTTATTTTTTGACAAATTTTGAGTTGGTGTTCTATTAGAATTCTGTAAATATATAGGTATTTGGGGTGGTTTTTTTGCCACAAAACTCAATGTCTGGATATCAGATTTCGATACCTGAGACAATAAGGTATCCTTATCAGTGTTTGACGATTTCTGTAAACATATAGGTAGTTGGGTTGGCTGTTTGGCCAGAAAACTCAAAGTTTGTATACTGGACTTTGAAATTTGCGACAGCAAGGTAACGTCATCGGTATTTGCATTTTCAAGTGCATCATTAGTTGCTGTAAGTTGATTGTTTAACAAATTTCTTATAGTTTTGTATTTCGGAATTACCCCTAGAAAAGATTGTGATTCTCAACATTTCAATTAAGTTTTTGGGTTTATTCCCCGTAATTGTCACTCAGTTTATTGACTTCGGGGTTTTTGGTGACGGTTGTGTGGAAGCAAAATGTTCTTTTTTTTTGGTATCTTTTGTATGCATCTGGATCATACTTGTCCACAGGTATCACGTGCGAATTAAAAGGGAAAATCCCAGCTTTTCTCAGTCCACTTTAATAATATCGGGGTTTGTTTCTTGCCAAGTAATCTACCAACGCTTGACCGAAAACTTTTTTGGCATTTTTGTACCAACATTTCTACGCTGCCACTATACCAGCTTGGCATCCCATATTGACTTGTTTGATTTGGATACTGCTATATTAAGAGGCTGCAGCAAATTTGATCTGTGTGGCGGTAGTTTAAGAATTGTGATACGGTTTCATATTGCCAGCTCCACAACTCTTACTTGAACGTGCGTTGAGTGACCACCATAAATAATAAGAAGCTGCCGCTCCTCGTCCAGACTTGGGATAAGAGCTTTTTCTATGTAATTATAGAAAATGTCTGTTCCATCCACCTTTTAGTACTGGCTGCATACAATAATTCGAAATCGTAATCGCCACCAACCAGTGATCCCAAACAAATTTGCCTTTAAATACAACCAAAGGCGGCAACTTCTTGCCACTAGTGCTTGCGCCTGTCAACATGGTGATATTTTCTTTTCCACTCTCATGGGTGGTCCTCACACAAGGTTTGTTTATTTGTCCACATACTTTTACTCTGGATGGATCCAGGAATAACGAAGACGAAGTTCCAAATGAGCTTTTACTCTGGATGGATCCAGGAATAACGAAGACGAAGTTCCAAATGAGTTGGGGACCTTCAAAAAGATCCAAATCTTTTAAAGTATTTTCCAGCAAATCAAAATATTCAAAAATGACGAATGGATCTGTCATTTTCTTACAAACTCTACAGGCTATGTTTTTTTAATTGAAAATCTTTTTTTTTCTTTTTTTTATAGGAGAGGGAGCAAACGAGCATGCGGCTCAGCTGATGGTAAGTGACTACCGCCGCCCATGAGCAACTGCAACACCAGGGGAATTTCAGATGCGTCGTCGGCCTTTTAAAAAGGAGTAGGCTGTATTCTTGTACAACTCTGTGTAAAAAGTATCGGGAATATGTCAATAAAAAGACCCGCGTAAAAGAGGTCGTTCTAATTTTTTTACTGCATGTTGGTAGCACTGTACTGATTTAGCGCGCAAAGTTTGAGCGGGATCTGTCATTTAATTTGTTTTAAACTACCGTAGAGGCGGGTTACATTGACTCTAGGGCATTACTTTGGCCCAAATCGAGAAAATGATTTAACTGCCCGCTGTGTCACGAACACACAATCGAACGTCGTAGTTCCTTTAGTAACTAATAGATGGCGATATAGACGCGTACTTGCGGAACTGTTTTACCGACTCGGGTGCACGTCGCTACATGTTCGCGCTGTTTAAACTTTTGACAGTAAAACCGGCGTATTTTTCTGCTGCAAACTTTGGTGTCTGAAGCTGTATTTTGGTAAGTTTTCAAATTGGATTGTTATTTATTTTCTTAGGCATGTATGTAGGAGTATGGAAATTGTTTTTTAAAGACGATTTATTTATGTGATGGGATTTAATGACAGATTTAGAAAATCGGTATACATTGACCACCTTTTCGGGTAACTTTGGACCTGCGGGGCTAAAGTAACCCTGCAATGTTTATTAGTGGAGAACTTTACATTTTTGATCAATTTGTTACAGAATTAAAACACAGAGCGATATTCCTGATGCCATCCGTGTACAGACGAAAGCCTGGCAGTCGTCGATATGTCGACTACACCCAGGCAGATTTAAAAAAATGTCTGGATGCAATCCAATCCAAAGTGCTCACACAAAGAGCGGCTGCAGAGTTATTTAATATTCCTCGCAGCACTTTGAAAAACAAATTAACCCGGAAACACCCTAACAAACCAGGTAAACCTACAATTTTTACTGAAGAGGAAGAAAAGGCGTTTGAAGCTCACATAACTGCGCTTTCGGAATATGGGTTTCCGCTGACAGCATTCGACCTAAAAATGATAATCAAAAATTACCTTGAATCTAAGGGAAGAGTTGTAAAAATTTTTAAGAACAACATTCCTGGTAAAGACTGGTTGGCTTCTTTTCTTTCACGACATCAATCTCTTTCACGGCGACTTGCTAACAATATCAAAAGAGTCCGAGCTCAAGTGTCGGAAGATGTCATTTCCAATTTTATAGAAAACATCGACAAAGAACTAGAAAGCGTTCCACCCGAAAACATATTCAACTACGATGAAAGCAACCTTTGTGATGACCCAGGAAAAAAGACTATATTATGCAGAAGAGGAACAAAATATCCGGAAACAATAGTAAACGCTACAAAAGTTAATTTTACTGTCATGTTCTGTGGCAACGCCGCTGGGGAAACAGTTCCACCGTTCATCGTTTATAAGTCGGATCATCTCTGGTCGACTTGGACTGAAAATGGTCCCGAAGGCGCTCGATATAATAGGACAAAGAGCGGATGGATGGACAGCGCAACTTTTGAAGACTGGTTTCTCAATCATCTTATGCCAGTTCTTAAGAAGAAAAATGGTAGAAAAGTAGTGATTGGAGACAACCTTGCTTCACACATTAATAAAACAGTTTTGAACGAGTGTGAGAAGCACAATGTTAGTTTTATTTGTTTGCCACCCAACGCTACACATATACTTCAGCCACTAGACGTCGCATATTTTCGACCTTTGAAGTGCAAGTGGCGGCAAGTATTGCTTCAATGGAAGAACAGTCAACTGGGTAGGAAACTGTCGACTACACCTAAGGATCAGTTTCCACGACTATTAAAACGGCTTTGGATTCTTTGACCGAGACCAAGGCGAATTTGATTGTTGGTTTCAGAAAGACAGGCATATACCCCATTGACAAAGAGGAGCCTTTAGCTAGATTACCCAAACAAGATCGAATAATAAACGCAGGTCTTATAGGGAACTCTTTTATGCATACATTGGTGCAGTACCGAGCTGAGGCGTGCCCAGAACAGAAAACAATTAGGAAAAAGAAACTTAATGTGCCACCTGGAAAATCAATCTGTGCCACTGACCTTGCAGAAGCAGGTCCATCGGGTTTACAGCAGGCTAAAACTATAAAGGAAAAGAAAAGGGCAACAAAACGAAGACAACGTAACGTCTCTTCATCTTCAAGCTGCAGTGACAGGACCATCAGTCTAGCTTCTTCCACTGAAGACCACATAATGCCTTATGACTCTGAGGATGATGTTCTTCTGGCCAACTATGTGAGTCAGATTAGTGATACTGATGCACCTACATTTCGACATTCGCCTGATCTTCAGCAGGAGAGTGAAGTAGAAGAGGAGTGTGGCTCTCCTGTTCTTCAAGTAACAGATGTAGAGCAACAGCTGTTTGATGTTTTTAAAGACTTCACTCCCATTCAATCTATTGAGGGTATACAGATCGTTGAAGAAAAATGTAGTGAAAGAGAGAAAATGCAGGTAGTTGTTGAAGATTGTCAAAACAAAAACTTGCGGGTCTCGCCCGCACGTCAAATCAAAAAGTTACCGCAGGATACATTAGAGCCACCAGGTTTTCGAGGAGGTTCACTTGATCTAGATGTTGTTGTAGGCGACCATGTTCTAGTAACATGGAACTCACGCAAATACCCAGGTAAAGTCTTAGCAGTTTCCGAGGAAGGAGCCTTTATAACGTGCATGAAAAAAGGTAAGACGTACTGGCGGTGGCCCACGATAAAAGATGAACAACTTTATGGTTGGGACCACATATTGTGTAAGATTGGACCTCCAAAATTGGAGAAAAAGGGTTGTTTCTCGGTTCCGGAAATGAACGTGTAATAAGAACTAAGAGAGAAACTAAGAGAAGAAAATTAGATTTCCTATGCTACTGGTAAACGTTGATTCTCATTTAAATAAGACTGAAATTATAATTTAATTAAACTGAGAAGTAAAATATACGTTTGCAAATGTTACCTAATTAATCTAAGATAATATTATTGTTGTATTTCTGTAAGTTTGCTACTGAGTTGAGATATTGTTGAGAAATTTACTTACTGTAAATCTTTTTGAAATATATAATATTGATTTTACATCGTGTTTTAATTTATTTCGAACTTTTTTCTTACATTAAATCTCTCTTGGATATATTCAATCTTTCCGCCCTGGATGGTTTCTTTGGCCAATAATAGCTGCAAGTGCGATTTTTCAGCGATAAAGTTCATGGGGTTAAATTAACCCTTTCCTAAGAACAACTTTGGCCCAAACTTTAACTTAAAAAAAAAGTTACTGTTAGGTATCATATTTCTAAAACACACTTCATATCTTGTTGAGTACATCCTCAAGCTTCTTTATAGCATATAAGAATACTAAAAGGACAATACCAATACAAACCACAGATCAAATTCGTAAAATAACTGAAAAAAAACAGCTAAAGTAACCCGCCTTTACGGTACACTTTTTGTTGGTCATAGTTTTGAGTTCTCGGCGATTTTTACAATGGAAAATATTGTTGAACAAAGAGTGTGCCTTAAATTTTGTGTTTCGAATGATATTTCATGTGGTGAATCACTAAAAATGTTGCGAAATACCTACGGCGAATCGTGTATATCGAAAACAAGGGCTTATGAATGGTATAAGGCTTTTAAAGAAGGCCGAGAAGTAGTAGTAGACTTGCCTCGTTCTGGTAGACCTTCAACCGCTACGATCAAAGAAAACATCGACAAAATCAAGAAGCTAGTGCTCGAAAATCGACGTATGAGTCTGAGAGAGTTGGCTAGTGAGGTGAACATATCTTTTAAGTCCGTCCATAACATTCTCATTGACATTTTAGGCATGAAACGCGTCGCCGCTCGACTAGTTCCAAAAGAGCTCAATTTTGTTCAAAGAGCGCAGCGAAAGCATGTCGCTGAAGACATGGTTTCCCGAGCTTCTACGGATCCGACCTTTATGAAACGTATAATAACTGGCGACGAGACATGGGTTTATGAGTACGACATGCAAACAAGCCAACAGTCTTCAGAATGGCGTCTCGAAAACGAGCCGAAACCCAAAAAACCGCGGCAAAGTCGCTCCAAAATCAAGGTGATGCTGACAGTTTTTTTTGACTACCGTGGTGTGGTTCACTCCGAATTCCTTCCAAAGGGAGAAACAGTGAATAAAGAATATTATTTAGGCGTCATGAAGCGTTTGCGTGAGAGTATCCGCCGAAAACGTCCAGATTTGTGGCAACACAACTCGTGGATGCTGCACCATGATAATGCACCATCACACACAGCCATTATAGTGAAAGAGTTTTTAGCGAAAAATTCAACAAAAGTTCTCGACCAAGCACCGTATTCACCTGATATGGCTCCGTCTGACTTTTTTTTATTTCCCAAGTTAAAATTACCACTTCGAGGAAAACGTTTTGAGTCGATAGAAGCCATAAAAAAAATTCGCTGAATGAGCTAAAGGCCATACCGCAAATAGCCTATGAAAAATGTATGGAAGACTGGGTGAAGCGTTGGAGATGTTGTATTGCAAGCGATGGGGCCTACTTTGAAGGCGATAAAATAAATTTAGATGAATAATTTGTATTTTTTGTTTTATTGACAAATTCCCGATATTTAGTACACAGAATGTAGGTCCCTAAGTCGTATCGGTCCGGAAAAATCGCTGGTGGTAATCGATTCCACACGAAAGTTGTGCGAGGAAGAAAACATCTTCTAAATCGCACAGTGGTGGATCGCCAATCATCCAAACGGTGTGGATGGTATGGGGAGTTCTGCCACGATTTGCGCGTGAAATTCGGTGGCTGGGATTAATCTGAACAATTCCTCAGAGTAAAGAGTAAACACTCCCTGTGGTAAATGCGAAAGAAAATGCAAAGGGATGCAACATCTCTTCGTAGCGCCAATGAATCGAGCCGATCGGTAAGGACTCTGTCGTCGACGATTCCAGCTGCTCTGCGCTGGATGCGGTCGATGCGGAGGAGTTGATACTGGGGAGCCCCAGAACAAAGATGAGAACAGTATTCCATGTGAGGCCAAAGCTGAGTCTTGTAAAGTTGCAGGCGTTGTTCCGGCCTGAAATACTGTTCCGCTCTGCTGAGCCCGCCAAGCTTTTTAAAGGCCAATTGGGCCTTCACTTCCAAGTGACCACGAAACTGCACGTAACTCGATATGTCGACACCGAGGCTTCCAATACTGGCTTGGCAACAAGGGGAGTGCCTTGAAACTGAGGAGATACGACAAAGGGGTTCTTTTTAGCGGTAAACGCGTAAACTTGTGTCTTCTGAGGATTAAACTGGACTAGATTTAGTCGCCTCCAATCCGAGACTTTGTTCAGCAAAGACTCGACTTCAGACACAAGTTTGTTCCGGTACTTGGCGCCGTTTTCCCAAGAAATATTGGCATGGCCGATGCATGGAGCATCACCAGTGCTGTCATCCGGATAGCAATGAATGTTACCGGTTTGCAACATATCATTGATATGCAGAAGAAACAGCGTTGGTGATAGCACGGAGCCTTGTGGTACATCAGCGTTAATAGGCTTGTAATTGGAGCATGCACCGTCTACAACGACCTTGATGCTCCAATCTGCAAAAAAGCTGGCGACCCAATTGCACAATTTTTTGGGAAGCCCATATGAAGGAAGCTTCGTAAGAAGCGCTTTGTGCGAAACCCGACCGCAGGCCTTCGCAATGTCCAAACTAACGGCCAATGCCTCCCCCTTGGACTCTACTGCTTCTATCGGATCGGATCTTCTATCGGATAGATATAGGTTTCCATAAGTATATTCCTTTGGGAGTACTGGTCACCCAATTGTTCTCCCGGTACTACACATCTTAGGGTCTTAAGTAGACCGGAGCGACTTGAGTATTGTTTCCTGGCAAATGCAGTTTTGGTTTTATTTAATGCACCAACTGCTTTTCTTCTTTTTTGTTTTATGCCGACATCATAGGTTAAGGTTTTATGTTTTTTAATATAGTGTGTAGAATGTACAGCTTTCTCACTGATAGAACTTTACTGATGGAGTAAAGTTTATCAGTTGTAAACCTTCTTTTTTTGAAGTGCATTACTTTTAATAGACCACGTTGTGCACGTTCCACCTCCAATATTTTACTTTTACCAGTCCTTCCCCATATTAAGATGCAATATGTTAGTAGAGACTGTGCTAACGCCTTATGGATTTCCATAAGTATATTCCTTTGGGAGTACTGGTCACCCAATTGTTCTCCCGGCACTACACATCTTAGGGTCTTAAATATACAGATCAGTTTCCTAACACTGTCTGTTACTTGCTAAGTTGTGGATGCCAGGACAACCGTTGGTCTACCATCACTCCCAGGTACTTAGTTTTGTCAGTTTTTTTAATAGCAGGATAAACATAGTCAGCCAATCTCGGATAGAAATTACAGGAGTGTATTTTGATTTCAAAATCAAGACGAGGTTGTGATTGGTTAAGGATGCTGTAACAAATAAAGTTCGTCTTGTCTGTATTTAAGGTACGAAGATTATCCTTTAGCCAGTTAGCAACTAAGCTCATACCTAACTCATCTTTAATCTTGACATCATTCCAATCTCTTCCTGTGAAAATAACAGCAGTATCGTCGGCATACAAAAGAATATGGGCTTTATCGATTTTCAGAGAACAAAGATCGTTAATATAGACTAGAAAAAGTGTGGGGCCCAATACACTACCCTGCGGCACGCCGTACGATACCGTGACATCATCACTCGTAAATGTATTGAGCTTCACTCTTTGAGTTCGATTCGAGAGGCAACTCTTAAAAAGAGACAGTGCAGTGGCTCTTATACCAAGTCTTTCCAGTTTATGTACAAGAATAGGGATAGAGACTGTGTCGAAGGCTTTTTTGAGGTCCGAGAATACTGACAAACATTTATTTCCCTTGTCCATCTGTTCAGTTACAATTTGACTTAGTGCAGTCACTGTGTCCTCTGTGGATTTACCTTGTCTGAAGCCAAATTGTTTAAAAGATTTAGGTAATTCAAGAGTAGTATTTATAAGTTTCTCTATTATTTTTAAAATTGCCGGGAGAATTGAAATAGGTATATAGTTACCAACTACACCTCGAACGCCACTCTTGTACACTGGGGTAATTAATGATTTTTAAGTGATTTTGGGAATATACCTTGCTGAAAACAGAGATTTACAAGGTGAGTAATAATGGGAACAAGTTCTTTCTTTGCAAGTTTCAGGAAGGTAATAGGAATACCCAGCCCGGAGCACTACTAGATCTTAGATTCATGAGGGTTTTTTCTAATTCGTTTTCGTCAGTATCTAAGAGAACGAATGAGTTAACTTGGGTTGAACTATTTTTAGTATAACGATTATGTCTTGGAGAGACACTAGGTTGTATACTAGATGCAAGTATTTTTCCTACATTTGTGAAATAAGCGTTAATGAAATTTGCTGAATCTTTAGGATTAGGTTTTAGGTTTATTAGCTCTTTGTTATCGTCATTCGTTTTGCTACTGTATGTAATGTATTTTATATTTTTCCACAGAAGTTTATTATTATTAACAGATTTAGAAAGGAGTTCCCTTTCATATTTACGTTTAAGCTTTTTGATGAGATTATTGCAGTAGTTTCTGTACCGAATATACGTTATTTTTAATATAACGTTATGGGTTTCTTTTCGTAGCTTTTGGTGTAACTTATTACGATTTCTTATACAACGTAAAATGCCTGGAATGATCCAAGGCTTTATTACACGTTGACTTTTTGGAAATTATCCTGCGCTTAGACCTGCGCCTAAGCTCTCTCAGACCGTGTCGGATTGCAATTTGATGATTGTGAGGGAATAGAGAGTGCACCTGTGCTTGCGCATACATTCGGATACTATAATTCTGTACTGTGCTGATGGGCTAGTCTCCGTTAAGACTGGCCGCTGTGATAGAAATTTGGTTGGGAGGACACTCAATCCAACAATAAACCCAATTCTCAACTCAATCTAACACTCAACTCGACTCTTGACACAACTTGACTTGAGTAAGTTTGTTTATCATTATACTAATGACTTTAAGTACTGTTAGGCGAGGCATTTATATATTTTTTTAGAATTTTAAGTCTTACTTGCTGCATTCATATGATTATTGATCACAAATATTAAATATATTACGTATAAATTGATTAATTGAGTTCGTTAATGCAGTAGACCTTATTAACCTACCATAGTAAAATAGGGCCTACTAGCAAGGTTTTTAAAAATGTTTAATTTTGTTTTTCTTTATGGTAAAAGTTACAATTATTCGTTCATACTTTATAGAAACTGTACTAAACTAATGATTTTTATTAAAATCTGTAGATCAAATTAGATATTTCTGATTTTATTTTCGATTTTCCCTTAGCTAGGCCTTATTACCCGCAGTTATCTTGTATAAATTAATTTTCTTTCTTATGTAAGTCCGAGGCATAATGACTCTGAAAAAGACTGAGTTGAGTTTGAATTGAGTACCTACTTACTTAATATATCATAACATCACGGCTGTATTTCCCGAAGGACTGGGAATACATTAATTCTAAATGACAATGATATTTAAAACAGAAACTTTAAAATATGTTAAAACCGCCTTCAAAAAGAACGCAGTATGTGTGAAACAGTTTCGGAAGTCGATGCCGGAAGGTGATGCTTTGATTTGGTTTATTGTGTACCAAATTTTGAAACTGTTTCACATACATTATTGTGTTCCTTTTGAAGGCGGTATTAAGTTTTTTAATTTTTCTATTTGGAGTGACTTACACATACCACTTTTTGCCTTTAATTAATACATAGGTGAAGTAAATTAAATGCCGTTTATTGAAGCTGGTTAACCCAATCGCTGCTATTTTTAATTTGAGAGTAAACCCCATTAATTTGCTCGCTAACCGCAGGGAAAGAGTTGTTTTTAAACCCTTTCCCTTGAGGTTATTCAAACAAAGTTAATTAGATATGAAACAGGGTGCGAGTTTCCCCTACCAAATATAAAAAAAGAATAATTAATATAGGTTCATAATCGGCGAAGAAATCGTGTAAAATACATACAAAACAGACATATAGTCGAATTAAAAACCTTCTTTTTAAGGTCGGTTAAAAAATAATGATTAGTAATATAAAATCACTTTCTCCAATAAGTTTTCCAACAAATCCGAAATAATAATAAAATTTTGTATACTTCGTGAAATTTCATGCAAATCATCTGATTGTACAGATAATAATAATAAATTTATTCACTTTGTTTACATTTTTTTTTATAGGATAGGGTGACAAACGAGCACACAGTCCACCTGATGGTAAGTGGCTACTATGACCCATACACATCTACATCTATCCTCAATAAAGACTCAAGATGCAGATGCGTTGTCACCCGTGAGGACTAAGATGGAATGCTTCTTTGCCAGTAAAAAGGGTCTCCGGTTCTCTACATTCACCATACGAAACACAGCAGCGTTAAGCTGCTATTTTACGTTGGTTTTCTGTGAGAGCGTGGTCCTTCCCCGGTCGAGCCGACCCATTCGTACTACAACTATACTACTAATACAGCCGCAGCATGGCTCTACCACGTAAAATACTACATGCAGGGTATCTTAAACTATTAGAGTACTCGTTTTTTTGGCAACATACTAGTAAGATATGGTTGATCGTTAGCAGCTATACTAGTTTTATGGTAAAGACTGTATTACGGACGCTAGCGCCTTCCACTGGACACTATAGGAAACAATTAGAGAAATGCCCTGTTGTTTGTACACGTAAGAAGTTAGTAAATGTGTGTGCGTATGTTTTGTGTATGTGCGTGTGCGTGTGCGTGTGCGTGTGCGTGCGTGCGTGCGTGCGTGCGTGCGTGCGTGCGTGCGTGCGTGCGTGCGTGCGTGCGTGCGTGCGGGCGGGCGGGCGGGCGGGCGGTTGTGCGTGCGTGCGTGCGTGCGTGCGTGCGTGCGTGCGTGCGTGCGGGCGGGCGGGCGGGCGGGCGGTTGTGCGTGCGTGCGTGCGTGCGTGCGTGCGTGCGTGCGTGCGTGCGCGCGTGCGTGCGTGTGTGTAAACCCTGTCCTATTTTAAACACCTTGGGATTGTTGGTTGTGCCAAAGACAGCAATCCCACTAAGTGTGTGATGAGTACGACTTCATCATAAGATGTGGTCTAGTTACCTGTATAGGGGGATCGTAAAAGCGCCTCTGTATCCTCTTATGAAAGCCTCTGCAGCCATTGCCTCACATGACTATTTAGGACATAGTATTGTCTACGAGCTAAAGCAGTTCTGTGGGGGACGTGCTCACATACCCGGTATTCCAGTCTTCGACTTACTTTCTGTGCGCGCTGTTCCAGTGGCAGCGATCGATGTCTACGAAGTATCACTTGACGTATGTAGAGTTGCCTAGTTGCAAGCACCTCACAGTCTTTATATAGTTGGGTAGTAGGGTAACGGTAATGAGAATCACTGTCAATTACTATGGAAAAACTAAGTGGGGTGATTGCAGAATGATTGTGCATCGGAATCACCCCAGAGGGGTATTTACGAAAAAAATTTAAAACACAGCTGGGACGTTGTTTTCCTCTCACGAATTCGCTAAAAACTACAACGTATCGTAAAAACAAGCACTTATTTTGACAAAACTTATGCTACGTACGTAATGTTTACACTAGCTTCTCATGACGACTGATGTGGCGAGAATAATCAAGATGGCGCCGAAAGCAATGTTGCCAATAGGAAAATATTGCTACGATTAGTAGAATCTTTGAACTACCCCAGTACACCTTACCCATTTTAAATATATATATGAATTTTATACTACAGACAAAAATACTTCTAATAATGTCAATATAAAGTTTACTAAAAAATACTCAACCGGGCAAAGTCGAATCTCAAGGGCTCATGGTGATGAGGATGCGTGTGATATATACATATAACTCAATTTCGTAAAGGTGTGAATTGGATCCTTTTTGCTTAACTACGTCCAATTGTAACCTCTACCAACAGAAAAAACTATTGTTTTAGTGATTGGGTTCCTAGTTTTACACAACAATTCGTAATGGAGGCCTGTAACGTACTTCTTAACTGTGATCAATTTATGCGTCTTGGTGTTGTTTAAATATTTTAATAACAAAAAAGGAAAGACAAAAATTGTGTGGTTTTTTTTAAATTTATTTATCTCAAAATAAATAAACACAAGAGAAATCGTAGCAAATTTTTAACCAACTTTTCAGAGCCGTTGCTTTGTTTGACCATTACGTTCTGAAAAAAAATAATGTCTATAATTTCTTACGTGCTTAATATAAGACAAGTCGTACCTAGAGTAAAGGGAGATCGCCAGCGATTCTAAGGCTGAGATCTATAGACCGTACTTTGACTTTGCTCAGACTTTACTTTCGAGCTAAGACAATGTCGGTATTTATAGATCTAACTTCGAAGTCGTGCTGAGTGCGCACTTACCAAAGCCTAAGTCAACGATATCGACGACTTACGTAAAACTCAGGATATTATTCAAAACCACCGTATTAATTTTAAATTGTTGTTTTTATGTTACTCTAATTAATTAAAACAATAAATAGGTAGTTTTAGGCCGTCTTCTAGGTTTATATAGCATTAATCCATTTTCTATTATCGTAATTTTTATTTATTTCGAATTTCTTAAAATCTTTCTTTTAATTTTTTTTCTGACTTTGCACTAATCTCATCCGTTCCCGTTCTCACAGCACTGTTTTCTATTTCATGTAATAATAAATAATTTATGAAATACAATTTGGACTTTTTCGATTTTAAATATATATATTTTTAATTTTATACAGTAAAGTCAAAAACATAATGCGTGGGATGAAGCATCCATTAATATTTGGACTGTCTGGGCCTTAGCATAAGCCTAGCTTAACCTTAGCCCGATACAACTATAAATTCAGAATCAAAGATTATGCTGAGCATATACTCAGCTAAGCTAAGCGTTGTCGTATGCTAAGTCTGAGCAAAGTCTACGATCTATAGATCTCAGCCTTAGTATCGGATGAGGACTTAACTTCAGAGCGATGGCGTAATGCGTGCAATATGTTATGCGCATGTGGTGATAGGTGCTTATAAAAATTGTAATTGGAGGTTTTTTTTAGAGAATGGGACTGGGGTTGAACAAGCGTGGACTTATTTTTAATTCATTAGGTACAGCCTATATACGTCCCACTGCTGGGCACAGGCCTCCCCTCATGTCTGGGAGGTTTTATTTTTTATTTCAGTAATTTTAATAAAACATTACATTATGATGTATGTTGAAAAAAGATATAGAGGTAAAGTCTATTAACTACTGTGACAGGCTTAAGAGACAAGAGTTTCGTATAAAATATAATTGAGTACGAAATAATTATTAGACAAAGTGAGCTGAACAATCGATAGGGCCATAATATAGTATTAACTATGTCTATATTATAATTTAATTTTGTATATTTCTCGAATATTATTACAAAATATTGAAATACTGAAAAAATATATTTTTTGTCATATTTTCAAAATATAGAAATCCGAACTTGCTAATATAGAGTAATTGCTCTTAACTCATTTTTTTCACCGTTTAATGGTCATTTTCTCGATAACAATTATAAACTGAGGTAACCCACACACCTGCCAAGCGTGGTAACTATAGCTAATGTTGTATTAGGCAATTTATAGGGAGAATTTTTTTTTTTATAGTATAGGGGGCAAACGAGCATGCGGCTCACCTGATGGTAAGTGACTACCGCCGCCCATGAACAACCGCAACACTAGGGGAATTGCAGATGCGTTGCCGGCCTTTTAGAAAGGTGTAAGCTCTTTTCTTGAAGGTTCCTAAGTCGTATCGGTTCGGAAAATTCGCTGGTGGTAATTGATTCCACAAAGAAGTTGTGCGAGGGAGAAAACTTCTTCTAAATCGCACAGTGGTGGACCGCCAATCATCCAGATGGTATGGATGATAACGCGAGTTTTGTCGCGATGTACGATAGTGAAATTGAGCGGCTGGAATTAGTCCGAACAATTCCTCAGAGCACTCCCCGTGATAGATGCGATAAAATACGCAAAGAGATGCAACATCTCTACGCAGTGCCAGTGTATCGAGCCGATCGGAAAGAACTCGGTCGTCGACGATACTAATCGCTCTGCGCTGGATGCGGTCAAGTGGAAGGAGCTGGCACTGGGGTGCCCCGGCCCAGAGATGAGAACAGTATTCCATGTGGGGCCGAACTTGCGCTTTGTAAAGTTGCAAGCGATGTGCCGGCATGAAATAATGTCTCGCTCTGCTGAGCACGCCAAGCTTTTTAGAGGCCAATTTGGCCTTCCCTTCCAAGTGACCACGAAACTGCACGCTGTTCGATATGTTGACGCCAAGGATTCCGATACTGGCTGAGGCAGCAAGGGGAGTGCCTTGAAACTGAGGAGATACGACAAAGGGGTTCTTTTTAGCGGTAAACGCGCAAACTTGTGTCTTCTGGGGATTGAACTGGACTAGATTTAGTCGCCCCCAATCCGAGACTTTGTTAAGCAAAGACTCGACTTCAGACACAAGCTTGTCCCGGTAATATTGGCACGGCCGGTATATAAGGCATCACCAGTGCTGTCGTCTGCATAGCAATGAATGCTACCAGTTAGCAACATATCATTGATATGCAGGAGAAACAGCGTTGGTGATAGCACGCAGCCTTGTGGAACACCAGCGTTGATAGGCTTGAAATCAGAGCATGCACCGTCCACTACGACCTTGATGCTCCGATCAGCAAGGAAACTGGTGATCCATTTGCACAATTTCTCGGGAAGCCCATAGGAAGGAAGCTTCGAAAGAAGCGCCTTGTGCCAGACCCGATCGAAGGCCTTCGCTATGTCCAAACTAACGGCCAATGCCTCCCCCTTGGACTCTACTGCCTCCGCCCATCTATGAGTTTAGTAAACTAGAAGATCACCTGCTGATCGACCCCGACGAAAACCGTACTGACGTGCACTGATCAGCTGGTGATCCTCAAGGTACCTCATGAGCTGGCAATTTATAATGGACTCCGTTATTTTGGAGAACATGGAGGTGATGGCGATAGGCCTGTAGTTGGACGGGTCTGAGCGGTCGCCTTTTTTAGGGATCGGGTGGACCAAAGCTGCCTTCCATGAATTCGGGACTACGCCTTGGGAGTAGGAGTCCTGGAAAAGACGCGTTAAAACCGGTGCCAACTACGGAGCACACGTCTTCAGCACAATGGGAGGGACTCCATCGGGCCCACTCGACTTGCTGACGTCCAGGGAGAAGAGTGCTTTGCGAACCGAGCGCTGTGTAAATCGCACATCCGGCATGGAGCACTCACATCGCGAGATGGTCGGCGGTGTGTTCCCCCCGTCATCTAGAGTCGAGTTAGACGCAAAAAGAGAGCACAACAGATCGGCTTTCTCTTTTGCGGCATGGGCCAGTGAGTCGTCCTCTCTGTGCAGAGATGGAAGGGATGGCTGACAGAAGTTCCCTTGGACAGCCTTGGCGAGAGACCAGAATGCACGGGTTCCCGAAGGAAGGCGAACTAGCTTCTCGCCAATTCTACCGATGTGCTCAGACCTTGCCTTGGCAATGACGCTTTTGAAGGACCTGGAGGCGGAATTATACTTCTTTTTAAGTGCGCTGGTGTTTACATCCCGAGACGTTGATGCGTCAGCCCAGGCCCGGTAGCACTCCTGCTTATAGCATGATGCTATTTTACAGGAGCGACCAAACCATGGCTGGGATCTGCCTCCGATGGGCATCACAGAGGATGGAATAAAAAGTTCCATACCCTGAAGTACCACATCAGCAACAGAATCGGCAACAACGCTGGGATCTTCCGGCGAGAAGCAAACCCGCCCCCAAGGGTAGGATGCAAAAAAAGACCGCATCCCGTCCCAATCAGCTGACCTATAGTGCCAAACACGGCGGCAAGCTGCAGATCGCAACTGCGATTGGAGCGTGAGTGGCACCGTGCTCTGGATCAGACAATGGTCCGAAGAGCCCAGAGGGGCATCGACGGATACCTGATATCCGTCCGGATGAGAGGTCAGCAGTAGGTCCAACAGGGAAGGTACATGGTCTTCCACATCTGGGATCCGCGTAGGCGAAGTAACCAGTTGTGTTAGACCATATGCCAAAGCAAAGTCGTAGACAGATCTACCCGCATGATCGGTTAAACGAGAACCAAGCCATTCAGCGTGGTGGGCGTTGAAATCACCGAGTATCACGATCTTTGCGGATGGGACCTGTTGTAGCACGGAGTCTGCAGCCATTTGGACGTGGTCGATGAGTCGGTCTGTGTCGGCATTACCGCTATGGGACCTATAGAGGCACCGGTAGACGCGGGGATGGTCGTCGCTGTCTACGCGCAGCCATAGGATGGACAGGTCCGTACCTTCAAGGCTGCCGAGGCGTCGAAAACAGATGTCCTCTCTGACGTATACACAAACTCCAGCCCGGGGCACAAAGGAGTGTTCCAATTTGTATCCCGGGTAGGAGAGATATGAAGTATCAGCCGAAGAGGACACCTGAGTCTCGGTTAAAAAGAGCAAGGCCGGCTCCGCCGTCTCTAGATGGTAATGGACAGCGTTAAGGTTGGAATGAAGTCCCCTGATGTTGCAAAAATTCACGGATAGCGTGACAGGGGTCGCCTTGGTTGTATTGCTTCGCTTGCCTCGAGCAGCATTAGTCGCGAGCGGAATTTTGCCCCCCCCCCCCCCCAGAATACGCGGGGCAGCCTGAGCACCCGCGCTCAGGAGTGAAGTAGTTTGGTCGTGCATGCTCAGCGAGGGATTCTCCAGGGGTGCTGGTACCCTCCTGGGGTAGTCTTTTATTTAATTCCACTACCATGTTGATGAGGGGGGGGGGGGGGAATTGGGCCTCCGGCCACCTGCACTCACCAAGCGCAACGCAGAGGTAAACCTCTACTTCACGCTGGTATTCTGTGAGGTCGTGGTACCACCCCGGTTCGAGCCGGCCCATCCGTGCGACAGCAAAAGCTACCGCTTGGCTCTACCAATAATATTTTAATATTTAGCAGTGGACTTTTATAGGCTCTAATGGATGGATGGAACTAACTTATTTGTCTCTCGTGTTTCCGCTTCCATTTTCCAGTAACATAATGAGGATTGGGTTAAGTAAAGCAAGAAAAGGTTTAATTACGATCAGAAGCTTATCACAATATGTCGATTTTAACAAATAAACAATTTGCCGTGTAGCAAAGGTGTAAGAGAATCATCACTACTCTATATCATACCTTGGGTGTCGTGAGAGTCGACAGAGGAAAACTGAAACAGGAGACGGGCAGCAGCATCTTCCTGATAACAACTAAATAAAAAAACTGCGGTTGATAACACGCCTGCCAAGCGTGGCCGTGGCAAATAATACTATTTTGTGTTTTGTGGTGGCAACCTTTACAAATATCCACGCTATAAGGCAATCTATGGAGGAGGCCTATATTCAGCCGTGAACGTTAGATAGGCTGTAAGGAGTGAACGAAAAAAAATGCAAGCACATGCTTGCATCATTAGATCTTAACATCGTCGCTCACTTATCAACTCAGTACAACACCAGCAACCTCATATAAAAATTGGAAACTAATAAGGCGTTCCATCTTAGTCCTCAGGCATGACAACGCATTTGTATTTTAATACCTAATCGGGAATTGGGGAGTTGAATGTAATCAACCAAAGCGCAAATGTACGTGGTAGTGGTAGAGCCAGGCCGGGGAAGGACCACGCTCTCACAGAATACCAGCGTAAAATGGCAGCTTAACAATGCTGTATTTCGTATAGTGAGTGGAGAGAACCGGAGACCCATTTTACTGGAAAAGAGGCATTCCATCTTAGTCCTCACGGGTGACGACGCATCTGCATTATGATTCTTTATTGAGGATAAATGTCTATGGGTCACAGCATCCACTTACCATCAGGTGGACTGTGTGCTCGTTTGTCACCCTATCCTATTAAAAAAAGTGTCAGTGTCGAATAACGAATCCTTGCAATCGTGACATCGCTTATATAAATAATATGATTAATAATAATAATGATGATATAGATACCATAGTGTCCGGGTACACGTTAGACCGTGGCATATAGTCTGCGTGTTCGCAAACGCCTCTCGCTGAACAAGTTCCTACCACGTTACGCGATATGCACGGCCCGAACGGCGGCCATGCACGTATTTGCACAGTCCTACACGTCCCGCGGTTGCATAGCCGTATAGACACGTTCGCTGTCAGAAAAAAAAACATTCGTTATTGGTTTCTTCCTTAGCCTTTTTGTACATTGCTGGATATCTCTTTCCAAAAATGTGTTAGCAGGTATTCAGTTTTGAAAGAGGAGCCCCTAAAACTAATGTCCTCCAGACTGAATTTCGGCGGTGGCGACCAGTCTTAATGGAGATTAGTCGCCTGCGCACGACAGCATTATAGTGCCCGAGCTCAAAGTCCGATGGAAGACCTGAGAGAGATCAGCAGCAGGACCAACGGCTTTACGTGCCTTCTGAGACACGGGGATGAAACACCGCCAACTTCCTGATTCCGGCGTGCTACTGAGAATTTCTTGATAGAAAAACTCAATAACTAATTTTTGGGACGGGATTCGAACCCGGGACCGCATCATCAACAGCTATGTTAACGACCACTATACCAACGAGATAGTCAAGAGAAGCCCATGCTCACCATGCTGTTCAGGTGGCTTTGTAAGTACATATTTAACAGTGGTAATGCTGCCCATCACCAGTTTCTCAGATTTGCTTTCGGCATTTTAGTAAGTATTTCGTCATAAGTGGATCCTGGAGCCTCGAGCTGCAGACATTTGCTGGTACTCAGTTTTTAGTATAGAAATGTTTTTATCCATAGAGAGGATTAATTTTCTGTGACCCACCATATAAATGTCAAAAACCAGGATAGTATCATACCAAGCTACTACTTATTTCTGATGAATTCTTACTGTAATGTAATATAGTAGTTTTTAGTCTAACTTTGAATATTAAACTTCCCAGTACCAAGTCATGATAATGGTTCTAATTTTCCATTGAAGTCCAAATTCCGACATATCTCCACGTTGAAGGTCTCTACAGTCGGACGCTATGGCTTTCAGTAGGATATCTGTGTGTTTGTGTGTATGTATGTACGTACGTACGTAGGTAAATTCTTAATTTAAGCTCGCATTACTCGAGAATAAATAATGATACCGACATTTAACTGGTTTTATTTGATACACAATTATGTCACCATCATCACTATTACAGCCTGTTATAAGTCCACTTTTGAACATAGGCCTTGCCCAAGGAATGCCACAAAGCACGGTTCTAAACCGCCTGCATCCATCGACAGGCGACGGGCAACAGTGTCAATGGTGGGAAGTTTCTGGAACTGCGATCGTCATTTCGCTTGCCAAGCGTGATAGTTAAAGCAAATCCTCCTTTCAACTGAAGAGAATAGATGTCCAGTCGTGAGCTTTACGAGCCGATAATGAAGACGAAGAAGATTGTGTTTATATTGAAACTTACGTCCTGCATAGTCCTCATCGGGCCAGTCGTCGGGCAGCCCTCGCGTGACCAATGCATCGCGGGCCGCGAACTCTGCGCCTACACACTTCCCCCCACTAGAGCCGTCGCTCCGCCGCAGCTGGCAGCAGATGCCGCACATGTTGCTCTCTCCTACAGTGCCTCCCTTGAAGAGATCATCAGCATCAGCTTGTGCAGTTTATTTTATTGACGCTGATATAATATATAATTAAAACGCGAGAGTGATCAGTTGCAGTTATCGCTAGTCACTAGATTTGAATATGCCCGATGTGCTAAAGAAGCGAGGCAACCCCAACATTGCTTTGAAATTGTAACTGTGATGGTAATTGAAAATGTATTGTGTACTTAGGGTTTCCTGTATGCCTTGTGCTTTCTGCATGTACTTGAGCGACAGATTGTAGGTAAATAAAATTAGCGTTAATATATAAAAGAAAGAAATAAACACTTTGTAATTTATAAATGTAGTTGGTTATTATTTTTATAGGATAGGGTGTCACCCTATCCTATAAAAAATAACGAGCACACAGACTACCTGATGGTAAGTGGTTACTGCGGCCCGTAGACATCTGCATTTATCCTCAATAAAGAATCAAAATGCAGATGCGTCGTCACCCGTGAGGATTAAGATGGAATGCCTCTTTTCCAGTAAAATGGGTCTCCGGTTCTCTACACTCACCATACGAAACACAGCAGTTTCAAGCTGCTATTTTACGCAGGTATTCTGTGAGAGCGTGGTCCTTCCCCGGTCGTGCCGACCCATTCGTGCTACAACTATACTACTAATATAGCTGCAGCATGGCTCTACCACGTAAAAAAGGTTATACTAGTACCGCTCCTCTTTTCGGGCACCGACACTCTTGTAGCCCAAGCGTGGCGCACTCCGCGGCGTGGCAAGAGCCGTCCGGCAGGCACCGCCCGCCCAGACCGCAGTGGCACACCGACGAATTCACACACTTGCACTCTTCATACTGCATACTGCAGTCCTGATGTAGAAAGGGCTTAATACACTTGTCCTTTAACAAGCTTGTTTTTTTTTTTATAGAAGAGTGGTAAGTTGTTGCTATGGTGGCCCATTAACACCTACATTTATCTTGGATTAAAAATCAGAACCCAGATGCGATGTCACCCCTGAGGACTACGATGTAAAGCCTCGTTTCGAGTAAAAAGGGTCTCCGGTTCTCTACATTTACCATACGAAACGCAGCAGCAATATAGCTGCTATTTTATTATGTTCCTTATGCCTAGTGATGTTAGGATTACATCTTGGGGAGTCGGAGTGAGCTATTAGAGGGAGAGGGGACTATTGTAATGAAGTTGGTGAGTAGAGAAGTCTAATGTACTTTCGTGATGAAGTTCGAAGTATCGTGAGAAGTCTAATGTACTTACCTAATTCTCTGAGAGAACACCCAGGTCAAATAGACCTTGTAATTATGAGGTAGATATATTGGTGCGCGCATATATCTATATAAATAAATAAAATTGAAGGGTCTATTTGTAATGTCAAAATAACAGCTTTTTACTATATGCATATGAAATTATATACGTTACTTATAACAAAAACACAATTTTTAAATTTTTGTCTGTCTGTCTGTCTGTTTGTTCCGGCTAATCTTCGAAACGGCTGGACCGATTTTAACAGGACTTTCACTGGTAGATAGCTGATGTTATAAGGAGTAATTAGGATTCTTTTATTTTAGAAAAAGAATTAGGGTTCCGCGGAAAATAATTAAAACCCATGAAATCCAATCGTAATAAATTACACGCGGGTGAAGTCGCGGGGAGCAGCTAGTTTAAAATAAGAATATGTTTTTTTATTTCTACTATTATGAATAGAATAAAATGATTTTTTATTCAATATCGATTATTACATAATACTTATTGAAAGTATTTTTTTTATTTACCACTGGTTCGGAACATACCACTGTCCTGGGAAGAACCAGCTAGAAACCCAGCGGGTCTTGTTATATGGAACATGTTACCCGAGTGACGTACTCGTACTGTCCATTTATCTGTGGGTATCACAGATATTAACTTTTGATTTGTTAATCATACCACAACGGAAACTTTGCCGAAGGGTTTTCTGACACTTTTTATTAGTCCTCAGGCATGCCAACGAGGATAGATGTAGATGTTTATGGGCCACAGCATCCACTTTCCATCAGATGGACTGTGTGCTTATATCTCACACTTATTCTATAGAAAAAGAGTTAACAAAATACTAAAACTTGTTGACAAGTTGATAGAATTATTAAGAGTTTAACATTCTTAATTACGTACTATTCCGCTTCGTGTAAGATCCGCATACTGGCAGTCCGCGTTGCAACAGATCCCTTGTGACGGATGGCACGTAGCTGATGGTGCTACTGAGCATCCTTCCTTATGCAATGCTCTGTAAAATAGGAAAAATATATTAATATGCTATGCCGTGTAGTTGTGCCGTAAGGGTGTCCATCACCCTATCACTATTTTCAACCGACTTCGAAAAAGGAGGAGGTTCTCAATTATCTCAATGCAGATGGGTTGTACTTCCTAAGAGATTCATTGCCTGTAAAAAAAAGTCGCCGGATCTTGTCACTACTCACTATACGCAGCAGTACTATAATATGCTACAGCGTGGTAATGCCACAAAAAATAAATGGGTGATTACTTTAATGGTTTTAAGAGGCGACTATCGGAGATAACACAAATATTTCATTGATTATCCGATGATATTTATTGCTAGCAATAATTAATAGTTTGCTGTTAACCATGGCTCTTTGACGCATTGGCGATGGGGTTCAGATTTCCCGCAGCTACAGCACGCGGAGAACACTCCGTCGCCAGTCTGGGTGGTTTTCATCTAATTTATAAATATTCAATAGTTATATCTATTCCTTATTCCGAAAATATGATATCCTTCTGGCATTTTGTAAAGTTCTCCTTCCTTTCACGATACCAATAAGACTATATAGGGTGATAGATTCTTTGACGTTAACACTGTTGTTTCTCGGTCTGGATGTACTATGTATGACTGTGAACGCTAATTAATTTCTTAAGTGCAGCAATTACGAGATTTCAACCATAGGAGATGCTCATGTTTAAGCTTTTTTTTGTTATAGGATCGGCTGACAAACGAGCGCACAATCCACCTGATGGTAAGTGGTTGCTGTGGCCCATAGACATCTACATTTATCCTCGTTTGCGAATCAAAATGCAGATGCGTTGTCACCCGTGAGGACTAAGATGGAATGCCTCTTTTCCAGTTTAAAGGGTCTCCGGTTCTCTACGAAACACAGCAGCATTGAGCTGCTATTTTACGCTGGTATTCTGTGAGAGCGTGGTCCTTCCCCGGTCGAGCCGACCCATTCGTGCTACAACTATACTACTAATATAGCTGCAGCATGGCTCTACCACGTATAAAGCTGTAAACAGTTTACGGATTAAAGCAAATGATCATACCCTTCTTCGTAAATAAGCGCTCCACCAGCTCTTGGCGTGCAACACGGGTCTCTGTTGCTGCAGTGAGAGGGCAGACCGCAGTCGCATGCCTCTCCTTCTTCCACTATACCTGCATATATTTTACACAAAATTACATACACGAGGCTTAAATTGAAATGGCTTCAATATCAATCAGCACATACGGCCGTAATATTTTCTTTTAGTATCTCCGTTCAAATTCAGTTGGGTTGCAGTGATATATCACTTTTAACTGATAATTTGTTCTAATCAGTCGGGGTAATTTGGAGTTCGCTCTAAAATATTGTCGTGGATCGGAAACTGCTTTATTATAAGTCTCCCCCTTGGTCTAGTGGTTGTAAACTCGGTTGTTGACAATGAGGTCCCAGGTTTGAATCTCGGGTCAGGGCAAAATCAGTTATTGGGTTTTTCTGGTTAGAAATTCTCAGTAGCAGTGCGGTGTCAGGAATTTGACGGTGTTTCACCACCGTGCCACGTAAAGCCGTTGGTCCTGCGCTTGAACTCTCTCCGGTCATGTCGAATTACCGTCCCATTGGACTTTGAGAGTGAAGGAATAGAGACTGTACTTATGCTTGGGCAATACACAATAATCCTGTCTAGCGCAGATGGCTAGTTTCCGTGAGAGTGTCCACGGTGACCGCAGTTCAGTCTGAACTGCATTATTATGTCCTTGCAGGTGGTGGAACTCGGAAATGACCGCATCAGCCTCTACTGGGACCATCATCACGGACAGGACTATGCTCGCAAATAAGCCTCTTGCTATGCAAATTACACTGTTAAGGTGGACCGGACACTAAAGTATATTCGACGATGATGGCTCGCGAGGTGTCTGACATGTGGGGTTTACTGCTCTCCGGAATTCACACAGATTAATTCCGGTCAACAGAGACAAGTAGGACTCCGTAACGGATTGCTTCAGGCTCAAATGCAAAAGGCTCCTCGATATCGCCCGCATCATCGCTGCTTTCTCTCTTTTTAGACCAAACTAGCTGTTCACCACGACTTCCGCGTGTTATTGGGAGTTTTAATTTTTTTGCGCGGAAGCATAACTATTTTTCTAAAATAAAAGCTAAGCTACTCCTTGTGACATCAGCTAATGCCAGTGAAAATCCTGTCAAAATTGGTCCAACCGTTTCAGAGATTAGCCGGAACAAACAGACGGACAGACAAACAAAAACTTTAAAAATTGTGTTTTTATTATTAGTACCGTATATACTTTCATATGCATTTAGTAAAAAGCTGTAATTTTAACATTACAAACAGACACTTCAATTTTTTTTTATTTGTATAGATAGGTTATTTATCATATTTTGACTATCACCACTATAATAATAAAAACAAATTATACAACGAAAAATACTTATGTATTGTTTTTATATCTTTATTATTGCCAAAGACGAGTAGTGATCTTTGTATGGGACGTCCAAATAATGCGTTGTCGAAGAAACAATTTTGTACTTAGACCCCGTTCGGCTTAAATGCCGCAATATATGCTTCAATTATCAACAACAGAGCCCTCAGATACATAACATCGGGCATAAATTTAGAGCTGGTTATATCACCATACTGCCGTGTAGTGACGGTGAAGAATTTCCACTATCCCATATCTTCCCGTGGGTGTCGTAAGAAGCGACAGAGGGGAACTGAGGCAGAAGATGGTCAGCACCATCTTTCTGATAACAGCAATAATACAATAAAAAAGTGCGGTTGCCAACCCGCTCGCCAAGCGTGACAACTATGGCAAACATCACCTCCCCCAGTCTCCGGCGGCCTCGCTATTCCCGGCTACGGTCTACCACTTTGCCTTGCGTATGTGGACTATGAAAAAGCCTTTGATTCTGTCCAAATTTGGTCGTTTGATTCTATCAAAGTTCCGAAATAAAGCAATATATATAGAATAACCTCGCTCGATGAGCACAACACATCGAAGCTTCTTACGACATCTACAGGATGAAATATGAGCTGATTGATTCTCTTTCATAGTTCGTAGGACAAGACAGAAATAAGGTAAGAAAGAAAAACGGTACCTACATACCATTGCCACAGTAAGGTCTGTCCTGCTCTATGAGGCAGTAACTCATGCTGCTGAGAGTTGCTGCAATGAGACGTTTGCTGCACAGCGAGAATTCCAGATTGTGGCCATTTTCAGTCGTAGAGGATTGAGAGCTCATCAGATAGCCATGACATTCTGGGTTCGGGAAGTTGTCGTCGTGATGAGCACCAAAACTGTGACCTATTAATACATTTGTGTTGGTAAAATAAATCTACAAGCTACGTAAATCCCACTTCTGGGTAGAACCTGCTTTCATTTGTAATAGGGCTTCCGAACGGAATTAATCCACCGCGCTGCTCGTTGTCTTTTAAGAATTTTAATTTCTCAGACAATTAGGCGTTATGGCGATTACCTATTTCAGTGGGGTTGGCGGCGATCTATATGCTAAACAGACATAATTTTAAAGTAAGCGACCACACCTTTTTTTATAGAATACAGGTGCCAAGCGGGCACACAGTCTACCTGATGGTAAGTGGATGCCGTGGTATATTTTACCTCGATTAAGAATAAAAATGGAGATGCGTTGACATCCTTGAGGACTAAGATGAAATGCCTCGTTTCCAGTAAAAAGGGTCTCCGGTTCTCTACACTCATTATACGAAACACAGCAAAAATAATCTGATATTTTACACTGGTATTCTGTGAGAGTGTGATCCCACCCCGGCCGAGGCGACCCATTCGTGCTACAACCGTAATAAAGCTGCAGCGTGGTTCTACCGTGTTATCGTTTTATTTACTCGGTCTCTTTTTCTGAAGGTTTTACTTCTACCGCGTGTGAACTGCACACATGTTTTTTTTAAATAAACTTAAGTTGTGTTGAAAACTTAAGCTGCCTTATAACAAAAAGTAGTTTATAATTAGTAGCAGACTTAACTTAGGGTCTGATTCAATAAAGAAGTTCCATGGAAATATGTGAATAAATATACCTAGATACATTTAAGTTCGCATATAGGATTTTTCAGCCAATGGTCCAGTTAGCGACGACTGGCATCGCGGCTTCGGTACTCTTTTCGTGCGAAGGACTCTTCTTTAACCACAGTTTAAACCCGGGACTATCAATAAGCCATGTTTTGTAATACGACGGGAGGTGTGCTTACTGCTACTAGTGATCTAGTGGTTACCTCTGGATATGATATATTTGTCCTTGTGCCAGTTTATCACTCATACTGTATAGAACTTGGAGGAGGCTCATAATGTTCATAAAACTCATATCCGATGTAACAATTATAGGACGAGACAAGAAATGCATATAGTCTTAGATTAGGTATCGTATACGTAACTAATAAAATGGAAAGTGTTATCTAATAATATATAGTTAGTCAGCACTTAAGTACTAATTTAAGATGGAGGTTCGTTTGCGCAGGTTCTTTTTTAACTAAATATTACACAAATTACTGACTGTGAAATGTATATGTGGACTAGTAGGGCACCGGGGATAGTCACACTACCCTGACGCTTCTCATATCTAAAGTAATCCTTAAATCTTCCGGTAAGTACAAATCTGACTACAAGTTACGACACAATTTGATGCTTTCTATGAATTTATGTCACGTAATTTACCCATTTCATGAGCGAGGGTGAGCGCCGCTATACGTTCAGGTACGCGCTCCTTGTCATCGGCGGTAGCGTGCGCCAGGGCCAAGGTGTTGAACGAACGACCGTATGCGCGCCGGTCACATAGGCCACCAGCTGCGCCACCCATGCCGCCGCCTAGCGACGTGAAACTGGAGCGAAACAAATCTGACTTAAGTTTTTCTTGATTACTCTGTGAGTATACCGTTCCTGTTTAAACTTAATAATTAGTCTATGCTATATGCTAATTTAGGCACTTCGTCGCTGAACTAAATTTTTAAGTTATTTCTTTTGATCCTTTTGTGGAGTGATACACATATGAGTTATGGCATCTTAAAACGTTTTAGTATTCCAACTCAAGTGCAATTTTGCAATTTGGGACATTCGATGCAGCTACCTACACCACTCGAGTTGCATTTAGGTATTCGCATCTGTTTTATTTTTGGAATAAAAAGATAAATCGACTTACGCATTCGAACCAAACGGTTTGCTTCATCATTCGTCATGCTTACAACAAAAGAGTGGGATAAGTTGCCACCATCTGTCTTTCCATCCTATTATAATCCAGCTTTTGTTAAACATAGTCATTGCACTTCACCATCTTCGGCTGTATCACCACGTACCATCAGGTGGGATAGTAGTCAAGCACTATCTTAGAAAATTACAAAAAAATCGAACGGTGTATTTATTTCAACAAAATTAGTTTTGGATTTGTTTATGCAGTATTTGAAATATTGGCAATATCTTTCTTTCCAAGCAACCTTAGCACATACAAGAATAGTATCTATACGAATATAATAAAGCGGAAGAGTTTTTTGTTTGTTTTAACATGCTAATCTCTGGAACTACCAGTCCGATTTGAAAAATTATTTTTGTATATTATTGCCAGATTCATGAGAAATAGTTTAGGCTATCTAGCATCAAGCTGCATCTCTAAGCTAGCCTTAAATATTAAAAAAAATTGTTAAGCAAGTCAGAAGAAAAGCGCTTTCGAAATGATTTATCCGCGTGCTCTGGCGTAATGGTTAGTGATAGGTAAATACAATGTTCTACAAGAATAGAACATTGATCTTTACTCCATCTTAAAAATAGTCTGCAATACCATATGCCTATTTCTTACACAAGCCACAATAAGGTATTTTGTGACACCCAATTATTGGAATTTTAAAAGTGATTTATGAACGTTATTGTTAGGCATGGCAATGGCATATTAATCCTTACAAACGAAAGTTACTTCATCATTAAGAGAATTTTTTGAAGATAAACTTTAAGGCGCAAAGTTTAAAAGATAATAAAATAAAATAAAAATAATTCAACACTCGGTTCGGCGCGCGAACTACACATAAACTCTAGCCGAGAGAAACGAGCAGTGAACGCTTCTAGCGAGCGAGGCCAGTTCAATCATTTTAGCTAAAAAATTTGCAAAATTAATGAAGTACTTTAATCTATCGGTATATGTACGTTATAAAGCAAAGTCACATTTTATCCACCAACCCCTTCCCTCCCCACCCGAACACCAAAGGTATCCCGAATCGCGATTTTTTTTAGTTTTAAAGAAAACGGTACAAGAAACATAATAAGTGTGTCGGTCCTTGATAAATTTGCTACCAACCTCTTATACATATGTATCTATAATGCTTGAATTAGGTGTCATGTCATGTCGCGCGGCTCAGATACGTGATATACGCAGGGCACAGCTAGGTATTTATAATTTAATAGTTAATAATTTAAAAGTTTTAAAATCATTATAGTCCCCCGGCTTCGCCTCGATAGAATCTATTAATGTATTATTAATTATACTTAAGACCAAAGTTTTTCGAATCAAATATAGTCTAGATCTCTCCTTGTATTGCTCTTTATCTGTTCGTAAAGTTTCATCGCAATCTGTTCAGCTATCCCGACATAACAGGACAGACAGATAAACAAAAACATAAAAAATTGTTGTGTATGTTTTAAACGCATGCAAATAATGAGCTTGATAGAAGCCAGTTAGTTCAGTATTATAGACAGACCACCTCAATTTTATGATATAGATTGTTGTCAGGAAGCTGCTGCTGCCCATCTCCTATTTCATTCCTTTCCGTCGCCTCTTACGACACCCACGAGATAATATGAGGTAATGGGTACACGAAGTGATGACAATAATTGCGATGAAACTTTTTAATATGTCTTTTAAGTCTTTTAATGGTTTATCCATTTCAGTTTATCTGCTCAGACTTAGTAAGTCAGTGATAGACTTAAAATGAAGATATCCGCAGTATAACCAGAGTAACCAACATAGCCCAGCGAATAAGTAAACTGAAGTGATAATGGGCTGGCCATATAGCTCGAATAACCGACAATCGATGGGGGCAGAACGATTCTCGAGTGGCAGCCTCGTTCCGGTAGTCGAAGTGTACTACGGCCCTTCACTAGATGGGGTGACGATGATGATGATGATGATGAGGGGTTATTCATATAATACCTGTATATATGCGATAAAATACGCAAAGAGATGTTGCATCTCTTTGCGTATTTTATCGCATCTATCACGGGGAGTGCTCTGAGGAATTGTTCGGACTAATTCCAGCCGCTCAATTTCACCATCGCACGTCGCGACAAAACTCGCGTTACCATCCATACCATCTGGATGATTGGCGGTCCACCACTGTGCGATTTAGAAGAAGTTTTCTCCCTCGCACAACTTCTTTGTGGAATCAACTACCACCAGCGAATTTTCCGAACCGATACGACTTAGGAACCTTCAAGAAAAGAGCTTACACCTTTCTAAAAGGCCGGCAACGCATCTGCAATTCCCCTGGTGTTGCGGTTGTTCATGGGCGGCGGTAGTCACTTAACATCAGGTGAGCCGCATGCTCGTTTGCCCCCTATTCTATAAAAAAAAAAAAAAAATTCATACCTCAGTCCAAGAGTTCTGTTATGGAATACATGTCCAGAGAAAGCTACGCCCAGACAAACTTCGGACAACCTACGGAGCCTTGCAAAACGCATTAAATAGTTTCTTCCATCGACGGCATTATCTTTCAGCAGGTCGCCGAACACACGGGCGTTTGTTTCATTTGACGTCAACACCAGTATATACTTTACCGAAAAACCTTAAAATTAAAAAAAAAATTGGTAAATGCGGCTAGGTCGCTAGTACGGCAGGATTCTTAAAAGTCCCTAGATTTTTGTCATAATACAAAACACTTATGTACATATAACATATTTTTTTTAGGAATACCCTACTAGGAGTGTAGGAGAAATATACTAGGACTGTCGTCTGTAACGTGAAGGCGTTTTACTTACATATTTAGAATAATTATTATTTGTAGGCCACACAAATACTTCGTACGTGTGGGATTCGAAACACTTAAATAATATATAGGATTTTTAATTAAAACTAATTTTACGGATTTTATCGCGTATATTAATCTATTTTTATATTCCCGATTCACGGGTGCTGGAAAGCACCCGAAACGTCGGGAATATAAAAATAGATTAATATACGCGATAAAATCCGTAAAATTAGTTTTAATTAAAAATGTGTAGTGTTTGCGTAAATATAAGAAATCATAATATATAGGATGTTTAATTTGTAGAATGGCTTCAAAGAATGGTATAATTAATGATCTCTTATATTTACGCGAACACTGCACATTTAAATAAAACTAATTTTACGGATTTTATCGCGTATATTAACTTATTTTATATTCCCGACGTTTCGGTAGCCGTGGTTAACTATGACATTGGGACGTCGTACACCTCAGTCCCCCCATAACCATGGGTGCTGAAAAGTGCTCGAAACGTCGGGAATATAAAATAAGTTAATATATGCGATAAAATCCGTAAAATTAGTTTTATTTAAATGGTATAATTTTTAAGTAGCAGTAACATTTTAGTAGCTTGAACTGTATGTATTTAATACTCAGTTTTATCCACTTTCTGATTTCTGAATAATCTGAAATTTTGCACACTTATTCAGCATCAATGACAATAAAACAGTTATACCTTAAAAACTTGATAAGAAAATGATACAATCAGTGCTTGTTGCTAGTGATGACATATGGATCAGAGACGTGGTTCTTCACTGTTGGCCATATGAGGAAGCTCAAGGTTGTTTAGCGAGTTTCAACGTGGAAGTGCAATTTTTTCTACGTGGTAGACTTATAAATGAGGATATCCGTAGAAATCAGTACAGCCAGAATAATCAACTAGTCCAACGAAACAGTAAGCTGAAGTGGCAATGGGTTGGCCATATAGCTCGAAGAACCCACAACCGATGGGGAAGAAAAGTTTTTGAATGGCAGCCTCGTAGCGTAAGTAAGCGATCCTTATGTGAGTTCTATATTCTGCAGTGGATTTGTGAAGGAATGTAATGATGATGATGATATAGGTATAGTTACAGTTACAGCCTATATACGTCCCACTGCTGGGCACAGGCCTCATCTGATTTCTGAGAGGGTTTTAGGGCAAGGAAATGTCCGCCGCGCTGCCCCAACGCGTGTAGGCGAACTTCACATGTCTTCGAAATATATTTTTTTCTTATTTCTCATACATGCAGGTTTCCTCACGATGTTTTCCTTCACCGCCGAGCACGTGGTAAATCAGTAACCCGGGTTGCTCGCGTACTGTGAAACTTACAGCGAGCGCTAACCTGAATGATGATGATAATGACAGTAAAAAAACTTGACCGTGTTTTAGTATTTCAACTACAAACGTGTGTTGTTTTAAACTCCAATATTATTATTTTATTTTTGGCCCGACCCTGGATTCAAACCCAGGAGCACATGATCAGCAGTCGTGTTTACGACCACTGGACCAAGGAGACAATTAATACCAGATATCATCATGTTTACAATTCTTACCAATGTTATCAGGGGTACCATCCTCGTCGAAGTCAGCATTCCTAAATATGATATCTGCTTGAGCGACTGCATGCATCATCCTGCGCACTACGTGGTTCAGGCTGGAGTTCGCGTCCTTCTCGAAGAATTGCTTATCGGCCAATAGTAGCAGATCGCATATCCTGGCGGTCGCTATGCCAACCATACGACTGTGCTCTTCTATTTTGTACGGGAAGGTTGGTCTAATGTCTTCTTGCTAATGGTTCGCAATTTATTGTTGAAAAATTAAAAAAGAAATTAAGTGATATATCAATGTTATTAATTAACGAAATTAATAAATAATTATAATCTTTATATTTTCTTTTATTTTTGTATCATAAAAGTTAAATTTTTTCACAAATTTTAATACCTATATATCACCTGTTTTTACTAATTAATTACAGTCTGTCATAAGTCTCCCCTCATAGAGGGGATTTTGCGTCATAAGGGATTTATGTTTTAGTTGCAACGCTTGGCAGGTTTTCTACCGACTTCAAAGAGGACACGGTACTCAATTCGACTGTATGTTTTTTATGTGTGTTACCTCATAACTTTTTACTGGGTGAACCAATTTCGATAATTCTTTTTTTATTTGTAAGCTGGTGCTTCACATGTGATCCCATATAAATTTGATCAAGGTCTGACCAATAGTTTTTGATTTACTCTTAATAATTTATATTGAAGTCGGTTGTACAATTTTTTTTTATTTTAAATTCTTATTATTATTCTCAGTTGTTATCAGGAAAACGCTGCTGCCCATCACCTGTTTCAGTTTCACTCTGCCGCCTTGTATGACACGACACCCACGGGATGATATGGGGTAAGGGATTCTCTTGTGTCGCCACTCCACGGTGAATTTCGATAGAAAATATTACCTACTTCGTTTATTTTAATTAATTTACGCATTTGTTATTTATATTAGTGTATCGTTAAAGATGCGAGACGTCTGGTACGACCAATCCATCTGCTAAACGTTACAATTAAGGCAACTTCTTCCTGCAACGGGAGATGTCCACGTCCAGCAGTCGACTTTAAAGGCTGATAAAAAGGAGAGAAGAACATGTAATTAATACATGTTCTCTCCTTCTCCTTCTAGCGACCTCCCACTAGCTGGTGTCGAACGGACGTGGACGGATGCAGGTGGCACAGGAAAGTACTTTTTGGCAATCTATGGAAGAGGCTTACGATTAGCCGAGGATTTGTGATGCGCTGTAGTGAGTGATAGTGACAGTAGGTAGCCTAGCAACCTACCAGAGCTAGGCGACCTTCAACTAGATGTAGCGTCGACCTTATCAAAAAACGCTTAGATCGACGATCGATGGTCGCAGGTGACTCAGGAAAGTACTTTGTTTCAATTTATGCGAGAGGACTACGGATTTGTGATGAGCTGTAAGGAGTAATATCGCGAAAGTAGTAGTTTGCACATTTGGATTTGTACGGTGTTTGTCTTACGGTTAAACATCATGATGACGAATTAGTCACGTCTTTAAAATTGTCTTATCTTAAGTAATGATATAAACAATGGATGGAAATGGATTTGTGAACTGAAGCAAATGAACATCTTCACCTGATCACCTGGTTATGATCGCGACGCGGACGTACGGGCGCCGCCATGTTGTCGTTCTCGAAAGCGCCGAAGAATTTGTGAGGGTCGTCCTTGCCGTACGGATCTGCGTGGAGTGTGCGATTACCTGACAACAATAATTAAATTAGTACGTCGCTATGCCTTTATTAGCTGACATCAAAGAGTAGTTTTCTATGTATGTTATGCGATAGTTTCGCCAATTGTAAACCCATTTTAATAATTCAATTTTTATTTAATAGGTAATACTTTAGAGGTGGCCAAATTTTTATAAAGAAATTTCTAACCCTAAGGATGGCAAATAGTACATGAAGTGATTAATTTAACTTTTTATTTAGATAACATTCTAGGTGTTTTCTTTGACTTGTTATGCCTTACAAAAATTAAACTTTTAATAAAATACTTTAAGTAAATCCGTCTTACAAGAATTAAAAATAATTAAATTGTTTCCACATAATCACTTGTGATTTCTTTACGCTTGATTAAAGAATTTAAGCCTTAAATACGCTCAATTCTTTAATACACCATGTCAAGCCTGAAGAATTCAACCTATTATGTGGTAATAATTTTATTCTTTATAGTTCTGTTCTGTTTTCTCTTTGTAGTTCTTTATAATTCACTTTTAAGATTATAAGTAGCACATCTTTACGTGGCAAAGCCACGCTGTACCTTATTCTGGCAGTAGCATGATTTTTTTTATAGGATAGGGTGACAAACGAGCAGTCCACTTGATGGTAAGTGGTTGCAGTGACATATAGACTCACTCGTAGACTCAATAAAGAATCAAAATGCAGATCCGTTGCTACCCGTGAGGACTAAGATGGAATGCCTTTTTTGCAGTAAAAAGGGTCCAGAAAAAACGAAACACAGCAGTGTTGTGCTGCTATTTTACGCTGGTATTCTGTGAGAGGGTGGTCCTACCCCAGTCGAGCCGACCCATTCGTGCTACAACTATACTACTAATATAGTTGCAGCATGGCTCTACCACGTGTTAACGTTTTTATATGAATGTGTCGACTCCACCAATGATATAATAAAAATGACCATATCATCATTCGGTTGAATGGTAAAATAGCAGCACAATACTGCCGTGTTTCATACGGTGAGTGACGAAAACCGGACACAATTTTTAATAGTAGCAAGGTATTTCATCTCAGTCCTCCCTAAGATGAAAACGCATCTGCATTTTAGCATACATGTGTCTACGGGCCATAGCATCCATTTACTATTAGTTGGACTGTGTAGTCGTTTTCACTCCTATTTGTAAAAAGAGATAATAGATTTTAGATATTTTTACGCAATACCTAAATGTAAAACACCATAAAAGTGATGATCCTCTCCAATGTACCCTTCAGCTGAACCAGCTCCCGGGTCCTCTACGGGAAAACCGTAAGCCATCATTATATCTGCAAGTAAGTATCCTCCTTGATGGACTTCGTCAGGCTCAGGATCGACAAGCAACGCCGTTTGTTGGGTTGTAAGAGGTGACGAACCTAAAAAAACGACATATTATATTTGTTACAAACTACCGACCCGCTTCGCACGGGTGATTTCTGGATCACGGCACTAGCTCCACCTACCGGGTCCAATTGTTAATCTAAACCATCTCAAAGGGCTCAACCCGCTCAAACATAAACAAAAAACTTCATCAGAATCGGTCGAGCCAGTTTCGAGTTTTAGCGAGACTAACGAGCATCAATTGATTTTTATATATAAGTAGAGATATTATATTATTGCGTTGCATATATATATTACATTATTGTGTTTCAGTTGTTCATGGGCGGCGGTAGTCACCATCAGGTGAGCCGCATGCTCGTTTGCCCCCTCTAATATAAAAAAAAAAAATATTTTAAATTTGTTGTCCAGCTTCATTGAGGTAGTTATAAAGTGCAAACAAATATAAAACAATTCGTTCTCAGCTTATTAATTGAAAATGAATACAGGGTAATGGGAAGATGGGAAGCTGTAAGGGGAAGGTAGTCTAGACCGTTTAGAACCATTTAGGGCATAGTTATGTTAGACGTACTCCGTTAATTTTTTTAACGATTTTTTTTTGTTTTTGTTGCTTAAACCCAAAATTTTACAGTTAATTGCTTATGATTGCCAGTTTCATTAATAAATGTTTTTTTTTTTATTAAAGTAATGTGTAAACAATCTAACAAAATATAGCCTAAGTATCTGTGTCGTCATACATTTTTGTACATGGCCTAAATGGTTCAAAATGGTCTAGAGTACCTTGCCCTTACAGCTTTGCACGCATCCTCTAATCAACCTGTATATTAATACATAAAATTTAAATTCAATGAGAAAGTTTATCCTATACTTCAAGCGAGCAATTTTTGTTGCTCCTCCTAAACGGCTGCTCCTTAATGAAATTTTTTGCATGTGGTTGAGTGGATTCCTGGATGGTTTCGATTCACAATTAGACCCGGTAGATGGCGCTGTTGTTAAGATGCAGTAATCACCCGGGCAAAACCCGGGCAGATCCCTAATAATAATATAAGTAAGTATTCACTGGATTCCCGGGAATAGTTGTATCGATTTAAAATTTGGGTGATTTTTGTATTTAATTAAATATTTTACTCTCCATGGTGTTTTCCCTGAGAAAATTACATTGTTTTCCTAACGTCAAAGCTTTGTCGCCCAGGTCTACTGCTACAATGACAGCCGGTCATTAACTGATCTAGCGCTGTGTATCTTGGCGCTGCGAATTTCGCAAGAAAGAAGTACTTATGTTTATGACTGTGGCCTATAAACAATTGTTATCGATCGGGATGTTTGTCCTCCACAAAATCCTAGTATGGGGTTACGTTTTTCTAACGACTTCAAAAAGGAGCCGGTACTCAATTCGACTGTGTTTTTTTTATGTGTGTTACCTCATAACTTTTTACGGGATGAACCGATTTCGATGATTTTTTTTTATTTGAAAGCTGGTGCTTCACTAGTCGTCCCATATAAATTTGATCAAGGTCTGACCAATGGTTTTTGAGTTATTCTTAATAATTTATATTGAAGTCGATTGCACAAAATTTTTAATTTTAAATTATTTATTAATAAGAAAAGAAAATATAGAAAAGAAACGATGGGCTAGCTATATAGCCCGAACAATCGACAACCGATGGGGATGGAACATTCTCGCGTAGAAGCCTCGTATCGCTCACGGAGGCTTGATAGTATTCATTAAGTAAAGGCTTTTAAGTAAGAATACTTAATATATAGCGGACGAACAATTGTAGTAACTTTCACCTTGAATATTTAAAATTAAAATTTACCTATGGATTTAAGCTTCAAGCAGAGCCAATGTGTCTCTTTGCCGAATATTCCTTCTACTAATTGGTAACCGTATGAACTGCAGATTTTGTGTCCTCTCTGCGGCTGCCCCTGTACATCCAAACCTTGCACAAGCAGCCCTAACACTAAATGACACGTGTAGACGATCAGCCAACCGGCCATAATATAAATTTAGAATTTTGCTATCACTTATCAACAATGATGTGAGCACAAGATAATAGTTGCTGTCATTTTGACGGTGTTTACTTTCTCTGTTCCCCTGTAGGTTTGTAGCTAATAAAAGTATAAGAAAGAAGGTGTTATTAAAAGGATATTTGGAAAGAAGAATACGTTTTTAAAGATGTATTGGTATCATGCAATGGTATCAAATTTATTGCACTTGTTCAAGAACAATCAATATAATCTCTATTTAGTTTGTTTTTCACATTTCTTAAATTTGTTTGCAAGATGTCTAACATCGGCGTTAGTAGTAGGCACTTTTAGTAATTTTAAAGGGAATATATTTTCTAAAGTAATTCATTTATATAAAAACATATGTTTTTTTAATCGAATTTAACTGGCTGGTACATTTTTATTACTATTACTATTATAAATATAAAGGGGTACTTTGATTCTACAAAGTTTTTATTCTTTACGAAATACTATTATATTACCTTTTTAATCTTAACGTAAATAATTTATAATTAAAAATTTTGTACAATTGACTTCAATATAAATTATTAAGAATAACTCAATAACTATTAGTCAGACCTTGATCAAATTTATATGGGACCACATGTGAAGCACCAGCTTTCAAATAAAAGAATCATCGAAATCGGTTCACCCAGAAAGGAGTTATGAGGTAACACACATAAAAAAAGAAAGCCCCCCTGTTTGAAGTTGGTAGGAAACGGAAACCAGTCAGTCAGTAAGTGGCTACTGCAAAAAGGCTAGAGACGCATTGTAACTTGTAAACCATCATGGAAAGCCTACTGTAGTTATACTATTTTTTATTCCTCCAATCAGAGCATAACAGTGGGTGCTGGGTTCACTGTATCAAAAATTCGTTGTAAAGATGGGAAGGAACATTCTTTTTCAACTTCCTTTTTGCTTCGCTGTAGTTTGATAAACATATTTTCGGGTACAAATATAATAATCTTTTTTTATAGGATAAGATGACCAACGAGCACACAGTCCACCTGATGGTAAGTGGTTGCTGTGAACCATAGATATCTACATTTATCCTCAATAAAGAATCAAAATGCAGATGCTTCGTCACTCGTGAAGACTCAGATGGAATGTCCAGTAAAATGGGTCTCCGGTTCTCTACACTCACCACCAGTTGTAGCACGAATGGGTCAGCTCGACCGGGGAAGGACCACGCTCTCACAGAATACCAGCGTAAAATGAGAGCTCTACACTGCTGTGTTTACGAAACACTATACTATAACTAACTAACTAACTATACTACTAATATACAGCATGGCTCTACCACGTATAAAATGTTATTTAAACATCGACACTATTTAGGTATATTTTATGGCTATGTTCCGATACACACAGTGGCCACTGTAAGGTGTGACGTCAATTCAGTATACTATAAAGCCATTTCTTTTTAGTCTGCTATACTGGTTACTGTTTAAAATGAAACGCAGTCCAGTATACTATCATCTCCATTTTTCGACACTGTTTTCAAATGAAAATATTTATCTATCATGTACACCACCACGTTTTGTATTTAACAAGAAAAATTATTATTTGAATGTTGTTGCTTTTAAAATTTCCGAGTTTATTTGAAATACAGTTTTTAATATTGTTATATTAATTAATAATAATAACAATAATTCGTGAAAGCTGTTAAATCTCTAGGCCCTGTTATGTTTTTTGATCACGTAATCAAAGTACCGAGAGCACCTTACCTCTAAAGTGCCAGTGCTCATAGTACAAAAATGGCGGCGATTTATGACGTCATGTATTTCCCTAGGGTACTGCGGCAGTATACTGGCACTCCATAACGTAACAAATTTTTCATCAGCGAGAGCACTGAGCAGTGCTCGCAGTGTATATCGGAACATACCCTATATTCATTAGGATAACTTTAAAAGACTATTCTTGCGAATAAGCTTCATATTGAGTTGGTGGACCGGGTACAGTCTAGGATATATTTGGTCGACATTACCATTCCGTATGACGAGAATCTCCTGAAAGCCGTAAATAGATAGGCAAACAAAATCTCTGCATGCCAGATACACTATGTATTTTGGTTCATTCAGATTTCCTTTTTGAACTTTGTATAGTTCAATTATTTTATTGGTCGCAAATACATAAAGTTAAAACGAGCTTGCAAACAATTACTTATGTAAATAATCAGCTATTTATTATGCGATCGTGATCCAAAAGACAGTGAGCTGCTATTTAAAGGAATTAAATGAAAGAAAGTTCACGTCAAAATATTAATGAAGGCACGTAATGTATTTGTTAAAGAGTCGGGCGCAGAAACATGGCTCCGGTGGCGCTATAACTCGAATATTCTGCACTGAGCTTGCTTACCAATTAGTGTTGAATTAATTCCACCAAATAATATATTAGTCACATGTAGGACTGCCATTCGTTTAAAAGAAGTGTCCGGGTGAAATTCGGTCTTTTATATGTCCGAGGGAACTCTGATTAAATTACGATCTAAACAAGCGCGAAATACAAAATTATTTCCTATCTTCATTCAGTATTTGATCATCACATTGAAGTGTCTTAAAATCGAATGGTGAAAAGTGTTGTAAAAAGTTCGAAGAAGTCCGGTGTAAGAAATATTCTTCTTCATCTTCTCATTAGCCCATAGAGTTCCTCCGCTGGAGCTCTCCCGTTGTAGAGAAGCTCATGAGTAAGAAATCTGTTACAACTAAATTATCCGGTGTTTTTTACCGAATGCAAAAAATTATATTTACGCGAACACTATACATTAAATGAAACTAATTTTTACAGATTCTATCGCGTTTAATTTAACTTTTTATTTCCCGACGTTTCGGGTGCTTTACAGAACCCATGGTCACGGGAGGGACTGAGATGTTTCACGTACCAATGTTATAGTTAGCCCGGCTACCTTCAGTTTTTGAATTCGGTCCGATCTACGCAGAATGAGCTTACAGTATCTTGAAGTCTAAATCTAAATATATCTCTCGTAGTCGCCGACATATTCATGGAGTACTTTGAGAATCCAAGATTCTACAAGCGGTAGGATAATGACCCATACCAACCGATATTTAAATGGTGAATCTCACCATCATCCATCACAGTTTATATAATCATTTCTACTACCTCCTATACACTATGTCTTAGCAGGTATTATGAATATTATTAGAAGCTATATTGTGTACATATTATTTTATTCTATTTAGTTTCGGAAGTCTTTTACTTTTTATTAAAAGCTTAATTTTTGAAAATCAGTGTCCGGCGCTGGCTTAGTTAGATGGCGGCCCTCGTTATGAGTGAACAGTTTAGTGATATGTATAGCTTTGTTCGAGAAACGTCTTATCATAAACAAACACTTATTCATTACGCGCAGTATAAAATGCCCAGGAGTTTTCTCGTGTGCATTTTAAAATGCGTAAATTTACATCCTTTTGAGATATTATTAATGAAGAATGCGTAATCGTAATAAAATATAAACAGAGCATTTAGTTACATTTATGATTGATGAATTGCAGAAGTAATTTATAGATCTGTGATTGACCTGGAGTGGTAGAGAATGCCCCGTGGTATTATCTGCCTTTTTGTACGCGTTTGTAGGCAATAAAAGCATAAATGAATAAATAAATCTGTCTGCTTTAATCACAGGTTGTCCTAAATTTCATGGTACGCAAGTGTGAGTTCGATACCCGCTTATTTATTGCAATTTTAAGTGCTGATTTAGCACGTCGTTGGCTGTGAAGGATAACATTTTCTGTCAACTTGGTCCGAGAAACAAAATATCTCTAGGAAATATGATATACATCAACGCACACACGAACAGCGCGGTAAACCAACCGCTTATGTCCGGAAATGATGTAACATTTCAGGACACAAGCGGTTTTGGGCTGTAACTCTAATTTTCTACCGACTTCCAAAAAGGAGCGGGTACTCAATTCGACTGTATGTTTTTTTTATGTGTGCTACCTCATAACTTCTTACTGGGTGAACCGATTTCGATAATTCTTTTTTTATTTGAAAACTGGTGCTTCCCATGTGGTCCCATATAAATCAAGGACTGGCCAAAAGTTTTTGAGTTATTCTAAATAATTTATATTGAAGTCGGTTGTAAAAACTTTTGAGTTTTAAATTATAACTATCGCCTTCATCGTGCTGGTCTAATGAAACACAAATTATAGTTTTTTTTTTAGGTCTAAATTTAATGTTTGCCTAAACCCATAACATGCAAACGCACGACACAAGGCGGCTCCCCGATAGAGTGATGTAATCTGGTGAGAGATGCAGGAAGTCGGTGGATGCAAGTGGCTCCTGATTGTGCTTTGTGGCATTCCTTGTAGGAGGCGTATGTTCAGCAGTGGACTTATTATGAAGTGTAATTATGACGATGATGATGATGATGGTAGAAAATATGGTAAATAATGTCGTAACAGCCCATTATACTTTATCATTTCTGATGTACAAATGTTTAAATCTACAATTAATTGCCATTACAATTTTGGTATGGGGTAAAGTTTTGATTCCAAAGGAAAATAATTAACTTAGTCAAATATTAATTATTCCTTTTATTCCTTCATCAAATCATCAGCCTATCGAAATTCCACTGTTAAACATAGGCCTATCGAGGTGTTATCTGCCATAGCTGCCACGCTTGGCAGGCGGATGGGCAACCACATCTTTTTATATTATTTCGAGCTCTTGTCAGGAAGGTGCTGCTGGCCATCTCCTGTTTCAGTTTTCCTCTGTCGCGAAAGTGGATACTCTTAGGCCGACAGTGAGAGACACGTTATGATGTGGAAATATTTTGTAGTTTCCAAGCTAACTTGGCCATTTTTACGCAGCCTTATAATATCTATAAGGAGAGGTTAGATCAGAAATTCTCATAAATTACCATTGGGTTATATGTACTACGTACTAGAGAAGCTGTTCCTAACAAAAATTGTGCGATACTCTATGTCTTCACGCATGCGCGGGAGATAGTAGAGTCGCGTATGCGCGAAGACTTTAATTTAATATAAAATAAGATATTAATATAAAATAAATATAAGAATTTAATATAAAATACTCTTATTTTACATAATCTAAACAAACATATTTCTAAATAAAATGTAATAATAACTATCTTATGGAATTCACAAATCTTCAATTTACGCAATATTTAGTTTAGTGTACGAATTGCAGTACAGTTCGGTTGAACATAGTCAATGTTCGGAATGCGAAATCTAGTGCGTATGCGTAGTACATATATATATATATATATATATATATATCGATGTAAATTACATATTTGCTACAACTTGTGAATGATTGATGAATCACTCATAATTTTTTTACTTAACATTTTTCTCATTTCTTTATTAAAAAAAATCCGTATTTGCATGATAACTAGCGTCAAGCTTCGCAGGTAATGATCGCTTAAATTCGCCCGAGAAAAGAACTGAATAGAATATAAAAGTAAAGTAAAGTTGCAGACTATTTACGTCCCACTACTGGGCACAGGCCTCCTCTCATTTCTGAGAGAGTTTTAGGGCTAGGAAATGTCCGCCGCCCTGCCTCAATGCGTGTTGGCGAACTTCACATGTCTTCGAAATATTATTTTTTCTTATTTGTCAGACATGCAAGTTTCTTCACGATGTTTTCCTTCACCGCCGAGCACGTGGTAAATCAGCACTTAAAATTGCAATTAACAATTTCATTGGTGCCAGGAGGGATCGAACCCGGTTGCTCGAGTACTGTGAAGCTTATAGCGAGCGCTAACCATCTGAGCTACCACGGCTATAATAAAATATTTTTTATTCAATAGGGATTACAAGGACATTTATGAAAGTAATTTGTGCTTTAACTTGAAAAAACTTCTATCCTGGGAAGAACCAACAACAAACCTAGCTTGACTTTTTTTAAATATTAATCTATACATCTCAAAATAAAATTGAAGTGTCTGTCTCTAATATCGAAATAAATGCCTTTTATTGAGCTGAAGGGGTTATTTGAATGCCATTAAGACATGAAACATGAATGACTGTCTGTCTGTCCAGGCTAATCTTCCGATTGTAATAAAACTTCACGAACAGATAGAGAGCAGGTGCTAGGAGTAACTTAGGTTATATTTTATCCGAAAAACTCGGGACATTTTTTTTTGAGAAATCGACAAATTGATAATATAAATAGTATTTGATGAGTATTTTATATTTGAATAACGCCACGGCGAAGCCGAGGCGGGTCGCTAGTTTATAACAATATATGTTGTAGGTACAATTAAATATAAAAACATTTAATCAGCGTAGTAAAGATCACCTTATTCCCAGAGGTTATTAACAATCAGTTACTCTTTAACAGGGCAATAAAGTAATAACCCTTAGTAAATAATTTTGTACTTTAAACTTATTGATGGATTTGTTTTGCATATTTCTAAGACTTTCTAAAACCGTAATACATATATATGTATATACATTGCTCTATGAAGGAATTACTGACTCTGGAGTTGAGTAACTTGTATTACAAAATTGTGCTTGTTTCTAGTATTTTGCAAAGTGTACATCACTTTTAATAAAACTGTTTTTAGTTAACATATATTAAATTTTCGTAAGTATACTGAAAGACCAAAGTTATTATATTTATATCTTAAAAAAAATCTCTAAGAGAAGTCCTTCGGACTTTGGTTATTAATTGCTCTTAAGGCTCTCTTCTGCAAAACATTAACAGTCTATATGTCAGTTGCATTACCAAGAGCAAGAACAAGTGAAGACAACATAAGCACTACTACTGACTACACTGAAACGTATTCATTCGAATTTACAATACGGGTCTACGCGCGCGTACCGGTCACTGTATGCACAAGTGACCGTTTACGAAAAAAATATAAATGATAAAAATTAGTTTAATTTTGAATGTGTGGTAAAATAAAATTATTTTAAAATATTTTGTTCAGTGTTGTGATTTAATATTTTTAAAAATGTTGAAATACACGGTGAAAAAATATTGCTCCGAGGGAAGCAAGTTTAATCAAATTATTATGGTGGTACTAAGTAAGTAACTTATCTATATTTATGTCAGACTTCAAAAAGAAGGAGGTTCTTAATTCGACTGTATGTATTTGTATGTATGATATGCGATATCTTCGTCAACTGTGAACCTATTTAATTATTTTTTTTATATTTTTTTTTATTTCCTGTGGAAATATAAAGGAGTGAACTCTTTAATGTAACTGTTTAAACGAAATTTTCAACCGACTTCAAAAAGGAGTAGCTTCTCAAATCGTCGGAATTTTTTTATGTATGTTCACTGATTACTCGAAGACGCCAGAAGGAAAGTTGTTTTTTGTTTCAAAGGGTATATATACTTCCTAGGTGGTCCCATTTAAATTTTATCGAAATCGGTCGATTAGTTTTTATTTATTCAAAAATAAATTATATTTATATTGAAGTCAGTTGTACAAAATATTTAATTTTACCACTTGTATTATACCTCGTTATGTACCTTAGTCAACTCAAAAGAGTTTTTTTTTAATATATTAAAAGCAAAAGTTGTATAGGTACATTAAAATCTAGCACCGGCTTCAGTTCAAGTTTTTTTCTTTGAACTCAGCCTTTACTTTTCATTAATACTTATTTTTAAGGCTTATAAGTCCAGCGCTTCCACAAACTTGTGTCTTCTGTAACGGTAACTTCTGTTCTGGACGTCAGTTGGTCGGTATGGATGTAACAAAATCTTTCTAAAACTAAACTTATCACTTTGATTTTTTATGAGCTTTAGATTTTAATTTATAGGAAGCCTTTTGAATTTCACTAATGTAAATTGTCCCGGTCATTAATATTTTTTTTTTAGATTGATTATTCAAAACATTAAATGAGCTTATTAAACAATAAGTTTATTAATGTAAATTTACACTTAATAACACTATATAATGGATTATTTTTCAATATAGATTACAAGAACACTTATTGAAAATTATTTATATGCTTTTAGCACTGGTTCGGAAAAAGCCTCTATCCTGAGAAGAACCAGCTAGAAATAAAGCTGTACGTGATAAAGCCATGCTGCAGCTATATTAATAGTATAGTTGTAGCACGAATGGGTCGGCTCGACCGGGGAAGGACCACGCTCTCACAGAATACCAGCGTAAAATAGCAGCTTAGTGCTGCTGTTTCGTATGGTGTGTGTAGAGCATGAAGCTAATACAAAGAGGAGACGTTGTAATTAAATTTCACTATGTAACAACGCGTGACAATTTGCGGGGTGAGGGGATACAAAGCTCCGCCCACTTTACATTATCTACATCTACCGATAAATAGTAAAACTACTCGAATCTTTCCATATCGATGTTGCAATGTAGCTTAGCTACCTTGACGGTAGATGGCGGTATGTCCACAAAATGTTATAAACTATAAAAACAATATATTGGCGATTAAAATTTCTTTATGTCTGAATGCAAAACAAATTTCAGCACCTTCGTATGATTATTTTATCATTACTGAGCTCTACGTACCTTTATATTTTTAGTTCATAGGACACAAAGTGTCGCCATCTAGTGTGGAATATATTTAATTATATTTGAAAGCCGACGCAAAGAGATTTTTCTAGAACTATTTTAATAAATTAGGTGTAATATTATTTACAAATGAAATGTGATGCCATCCATAACATCAGAGCGTCTATCTGAGTAGTTTTTACACAATAAACACAACACTTCATCCTTTTCTTCTTAATACTACGAAAGTACACCGATTTGCGATTTTTTCAACACATAAGCGCACAGGACGAATGCTGACAGTATACTAACTAAAGCCACGCCCACTATGATGACGTCAGGACCTACTTAGAATCACAGTGCACAGTTGCTTATGCCGTCTCCCCTTTGTATTAGCTTCATGGTGTAGAGAACCGGAGACCCTTTTTTACTGGAAAAGAGGCATTCTATTTTAGTCCTCACGACTGACAACGCATCTGCATCTTGAGTCTTTATTGAGGATTTATTTATGATTATTGGACTTACCATCAGGTGGACTGTGTGCTCGTTTGTCACCCTATCCTATAAAAAAAAATCTACTACGCCATATTATCGTGTGGGTATCGGTGGTCGACAGAAGTACACAAACCAGGATATGTGCATAAAAGTAAAAGTCAGTAAAAAACGTGTTTGTATGTTTATAGGACTCATAATGGCATCAAAATCAAAATCTACATCAAATAGCATTGTGGGAAAACTGTATGCTAAGGTATTAATTGAAAGAGTTATGAAAGAAACTGATGGAAAAATTTGGGATGTGCAAGCGGGGTTTAGAAAGGGAATGGGATGTACCGATCAGTTATTTTCCATGCGCATGTTTCCGAAGAAGGTTTTGGCCAAAAACCAAAAAGTTTTTTGTGCGTTCGTGGACTTGGAAAAGGCTTATGACAGAGTTGACAGGGATGTGTTATGGCAAACACTGAACTCATTTGGGTTAAGCGCTGGGTTGATACAGGCATTGAAGTCTCTGTATAGCGACTCTAGTGCTTGTGTTAGGATCAACGAGGCCTACTCGGACTGGTTTGGCATCCATAAAGGTGTTAGACAGGGCTGTGTAGCTTCCCCGTGGCTGTTCAACCTATTTATGGACAGTTGTTTGGAAAATTTGAAAGTAGAAGAATGCGGGTTAAGAATGGGTGAGTTAACCGTCAAATGCCTTTTGTACATCGGCGTACATCAAGTCATACTTGCGTCGTCAGCGGCCGAGTGCCAAATGATGGTTACATTAATGAACAGGACATTAAAAGAAAAAGGAATGAAAGTGAACGCAAGTAAGACGAAAGTTATGGTTTTAAAAGAGAAAAAAGTAAAACGATATGTGAAATAAGAATAGAAGGGGAGTTTGTGGAGCAAGTATTTGGGATGTGTTTTTCACTCGTCGTTCTATATCCTTATCATATCTACCATAGATATGATAGGGATATAGAACGACGAGTGAACGCAGGAAATAGAGTGAATGGGGCTCTACACCCTATTGTGAGGAGTCAGAATGTGTCCAAAAAGGCACGTATGGCAATTCACAATGCTGTGTTAGTCCCTACTTTAATGTATGGTAGTGAAAGTTGGGTGTGGCAGAAGAAGCACGAGAGTAGGATAAATGCTGTAGAATTGCGGTCATTGAGGAGTATGGTAGGGATGAATCTGAATGACAGAGTGAGAAATTGTGTGATAAGACAAGAGTGTGGTTTGCAAGATGATGTTGTGACCAGGATTAAGAAAGGAATGCTCCGGTGTTTTGGTCATGTAGAAATAATGAATGAGGAAAGAGTGACAAAACAAATTTATGTTGCAGAGGTGAACGGCAGAGTTGGTAAGGGACGCCCTAAGCGAAAGTTTATCGACCAAATTGGCGATATATTGAAAATGGGCCAAATCAAGAGTACAAAGGTACTCTTGATTTGGTACTCTTGATTTGGTTAAAGAACCGACGAGCGTGTATGCGTAGGTATATGGATGTGGAGGACGCGAGAGAGGTGTGTCAGGATCGTGCCAAATGGAAGTCCATAGTCTCTGCCTACCCCTCTGGGTGACAGGCGTGAGTTTATGTATGTATAATGGTAAAAATTTGCCTTTAAAAAAAGTCAAAACACGCTTCAAATTCCATATAATAATAGCTTCTGAAGTAGAAGCTATAATTCTTTGATACATTACGTCTCAGCAGTTTTTTAAAATTGTAATTATTTGACCTTTTTTGAGTGAATTTCTCACATATAATAACGTTTATGTAACAACTAGAATGTCGTGTCGAATTTCTCCACCACCATCTTAGAGAGTAGCGAGAGGAGTGCAGAGGAGTGCAGAGGAGCGTGCACCCAGGTCCAGGTCGGACACGTATTTAGCCTGTAGCTTTAATTTTGATTAAAAATAATATTTTTATTTTAATATCAATGGAGAATCATGTATGAATGAATGATTAGTATGACAAGTTCGATTTATTTATGTATAAAAAAAGTCTTAATATACGAGTATAAATAAACTTTTTTATTTTTAAATAATAAAACCAGGACAGCCCCATTAGTTACTCCATTAGATATCTTATCTTTAACTTTTACTTAAATGTCTCTTTTTATCTTTATTTAACACCTTGTCATATTTGATTTATTAAGATATAGTAATCTTAATAAATGCTAAACATTTAATCAATGGTGTATAGACATGGCAACAATTCGTTGTTGACGCTGCAAATTTTATTACTCCTCGATTACTAGTTTTTTTTTCATCAGAAAATAACTTAATGGAAAACTACAAATAAGATTAATTTTCTGATGAAAAAAGGTCGTAATCGAGAAGTAATAAATGTTTTCTTGCTCTCCTGTAATTTTTTGAAAAACTGAGGTTCGCCCCTTTGCGGCGTCAATGACGAATTGTTGAATGACAATTATTTCTAAAAATTCTACATTATTCTTGAATAACTAAGTAGCATAATTAGATAAGTTTATTGGCACTATAGTAAATATTTTTTAGTTTTACTTACTAGCGTAGCCTCGCTTTGTTTATGTGTATTTTTGACTGTTCTTAAAATAATAATAATCTAATATATGTATAAAATTTATTTTTTTGTTCCTATGTTATACGCTGCCATACCGATCGTCAAATTGTACTATGTCAACAAAGAGATTTAAATATATACGTATACTATAGAACGGGCATTGGGAAAATTTATATACAAAAACTTTGAGCTAGTGTGCGTGTGGCACCCTCTAGATAAAAATAGCAAAACAACGCTAAGCATTTATTAAGACAACATTTTAGCTATTCCCCAGTAGGTGACACTAATATATATATATATATATATATATATATATATATATATATATATATATATATATACTGAGCCACCTGCATCCATCGACTTCCTGCATGTCTTACCAGTCACTCCATCGTCCGTCACTCCATCTCGTGGGGGGTCGCCCTACACTTCGCCTACCGGTACGAGGCTGCCACTCAAGAACCTTTCTTCCCCATGGGTTGTCGGTTCTTCGAACTATATGGCCGGCCCACTGCCACTTCAGCTTACTA